TTAAAGCCGCTATTAGTTAGTCCCCCTATTTACTTATATAGGTTTAAGCAGGGGCTGATTTTAGTTAGGGGTATTATGCGCTGCTATTAGACTAAAGGAAGCGCTAGGCGCTATTATTACTAAAGGGGAGCTGTTATTATATATCTCTGCCTATATAGCTAAGGTTAAGCTGCAGTGCTATTAAGGGGGTTGCGGCCTGTAAAGCGGCAGGCATTAAAGCAATTAAAGGGGTGGTTAGTAATAAAGCAGAGGTTAAGGCTAGCAGGGCTAAGGCAGCAGAGTGCAGGTATAGTGCATATAAAGGGGTGTAGTAAGGGTATAGCTATAGGCCTGCATATAGCTATAAAGGGCTATAAGGCAGCTAAGGCATATAAGGGGGATATATATATATTTAATAATATAAGGCGCTATAAGGGGCCTATGCCTAGGAGGACCTAGGGCTGCTTAGAAATAGTAGTAAGAATGTTATTTAACTAGTTAATATAGCAGTTAGCAGTGCTAGACCTGCAGTAAGCGCAGGCCTAAGAGGCACTAAAGGCGCTAGCTAAGATAAGGATAATAAGGCTTAAGGTAAAAACGCAGCCCTAGCTAATATATAATAGGCAGCTTTTAATACTGCAGGCAGAGCGGCTTTAAATAGCCTAAGCATTACCTAAGGCATAAGTCTAGATAGCAGGGCCTAAGGTGCAAGTCTAGATAATAAGGCTATTAAACCCCTATTACTAAAGCCTGCAGCTAGTTAGTTCTAGTTAAGACTAGAGAATGTATCCCTTAAGGCCTAGAATAGCGCTAATAGTCCTAGAAGGGTGTAGAAGGTTAAGTTATTTAATACTGCCTTTATAATACTATTAAGGAATTAATTTATAACTTTAGTAAAATTAACTAAATCTAGTAGTAAGGAGTAGCATAAATAGATATCCTTAATAAAGGCAGCCTTATATAGTTAAAGTTCTTTAAGCAGGATAGTATTATAAACTGCTTTAGCTACTGCTATAGTATTAGTTAGCAGGACTAAGTAAAGATAAAGGTAAAGCCCTATATTAATCTCCTCCTAGGCATACTGCAGTAATATAGTATTACTAATATAGGCAGCTTAAGTATAAGGGCCTAGGTTCTAGGTTAGCGCAGGGGTCTAACTAAAATCTATATAAGCAGGACTAGAGGAGCTAGAACTAGAGAGGCCTAATTTAAAGGGGTCTATACTAGTAGCGCCTAATTTAAATAAGCCTAATCTAGAGGAGCTAGAGGCAGACTATTTAAAAGCCTCCTCTAGGTTAGCTGCAGTTTAATAACTGCCTTAGCAGGGCATTATATTAAAACTATAGGGGGGTTAAACTATTCTATCTAGGGGTATAGGTCTATTTAGGGAATATATTATCCTAAAAGGATTAAAAACTCTAATATAGTTAAGGCTAAACAGCAGGCATTTAATTAGAGCTAAAGCCTAGGCTTTTAAGAGGTAAGAGATAGGGGAATTTAAGGAATTTAAACCTTCTAGCTATTACTATCTTAGGACTTATTAAGCTAGTTTACTAAGGAACACAGCTAACTAAGTATATAACTAAAGCAGTTATATGCCTAATTAACTAGGCAGTAGACAGTATATAGTAGGCTTCTTAGTTTATTTAAATAAGCCAGATATTAAAGGTGGCTGTAGTAAAGGTTATATATTTATTATTAGGGGAGTGAAAGTAAAAGTTAATATAAGTAATATAGCCTAAGAAGTAAAAAGGTATAGGCTAAAGATAGAGTTTACTAAAGCATCTCTAATTAAGGAAGGATTAAGGTTAGTCCTTGCTTTTAGGAGCCCTGTAAAGGAAAAAGCCTAGCTAACTTCTACTATAAACTATATAAGTAGGGAAGGGGCTAAAATAAACTTTAAGGCAGATCTAGGCCCTCCTAATACAGCAGGCAGCATATCTACCTAGTAAGTAAGCGCAGTAGCATTTATAGCAGGAGATACTAAAAGATATATAGCTAGTAAAGGAGTATATCTGCAGGTCTAATAAAGTAAAAAGCAAGAGCGAAAAGGGTATAAGGAGCTAGTTAGTAAAAGTATAGGCAAAAGCTTATATTATAAAGTAACTAGGCGTTAGGCTTTAAGCTGCTTTACTTTCTTTTTAAAAATAAAATATTTATTAGCTGCTTTAAGATATACTAGGCAGCTAATAGTAGGATAAATACTAACTTAGCAACTAGGCATAGGCTTAAGGAGCTAGGATAATTTACAGTAGTAAGTTATAACTAGTGCTGTAGTTAGCATAACATTAAGTAAGCTAGCATAGCTATATAGCACTTCTAATATAGAAAATGCAGAAGACTGCTATTTAATTTATAAAATAATATAGGTTTTAGAGATCTAGGGAAACTAGGTCTTAAAGCAAGGCTGCAAGGGGATAATCCTTATAAAGGAGAATCCTAGCGCTTAAGCAGGGATATAAGAAATACATACTAACTATATAAGTAATAAAATCTGTTTTAGAGGGCTAAGATTTTATAATAAAGCTATATACTAAGATTACTATAACCAGGGGTTAAGCAGTAAGTATTAGTGTAGCTTTAAGTAATTGCTACTATATTAAATAATAAAGGGATTAAAATAAATAATTAGGGCACTAGACTTAGTGGTTATAATAGATAATAATAAGTATATATAATCTAACTAAAAGTATAATGCAGAAACTAAGCTAGCTAGGGTATATATAAGGGTAGAGGGAACACTTATATCTATTTACTATTAGGTGACCTTATATATGACCTGTAATATCCCTGTTGCAGAAGAAAAGTTAATATAGGTAACGTGGCCTAAGGAGTAAAAAGGTGCAGGCTAGAGATAGAGTTCGCTAAGGCATCTCTAGTTAGGGAAGGATTAAGGTTAGTCCTTGCTTTTAGGAGCCTTATAGAGGAAAGAGCCTAGCTAACTTTTACTATAGACTACATAGGCAGGGAAGGGGCTGAAATAAACTCTAAGGCGGATCCGGGCCCTCCTAACACAGCAGGCAGCGTGTCCACCTGGTAAGCAAGCGTAACGAAGGGATCGAAACAAACAATCAGGGCACTGGACTCAGTGGTCGTGACAGACAATAACAAGTGTATGCAATCTGACTGAAAGTGTGATGCAGAAACTAAGCTAGCTAGGGTGTGTGCGAGGGTGGAGGGAACACCCATATCCATCCACCGTCAGGTGACCTCGCACGTGACCCGCAACATTCTCCTTCAGTCGAAGAAAAGCTCTTTCTCTCTCTGTTGTCGATGGATTTACAGAACTGCTGCTCCACGATCCCGAATGATATCTCTTTTCTATAGGATGGATTGCATTGGTTCCTGAGGACTCTCAATCAAAGGTTCAGAAGCAGATTGTTTTAAGGCCGGCGGCGCCAGAGAAGTGGTGAACAGTCTTGGAGTTTAATGGAGTTGCTCGATTTGTCGGGCTTCGAGCTTAACGATATTATTCATGGTCCCATTCGTCTGATGAGAAACTCTGCATCCTCTAGAATCATTGTTGATAAACCCGCCGCAGCTGCCCTTGGGTATCTTTGTTGGATATCTAAAAATCATCATTGAGTCGACAGTGCCCTGATGCCAAACAGTACCTTTAGGATTCAGAAATCTGCAAATGGCAGAGTAGCACCCCCCTCTGTCTCATACCTCCTGGATATTGTCGAGTTGGCCCACTTGATCGTCGTCTTTGAAAGATTGTACGTCGCATTTGGCGCGGCTGCCTCAAACTCGCTTCGCCATTCTGGTGTCCGTGTGGGTAATGAAGCGTTAAGATAAATAATTAAGGAAGAGAAACTTACAAACGGACTGCAGCAGGCAGTTCTTATTCTATACCTTACCTACTTTACTAACAGCATAGAAACCTGAGACAACTGTGTTTCTAGCAAGAGAAATGGTCTGAGTAAACAAGGAGATATAGTCTTGTTGAATAAGGAGAAGTGGCCTTTGCAAATAGGGGGAGATGGCCTGCATATCAATGCACTTTGCAATTCCGTCAGGACCCTCCCATGTTTATCCCAATTCCTCGAGATATGTTCTCCGTTGCAGCCCATCCCCTTATTCTTCCTGGATAGGAACGATTGAATCAGAGGCAAGATTCAAGAGAGAGAAACGCTCATTCCAAGCACTGGTTCTCAAGTGTATCACTGAGATTGGGAGACATGGGCGTATGTCAGGTATGAGTTGGTCTATCTCAAAATGCTTATCGGCATGATACCTAGGTAGCTCTAGGACACGTAGAAGCAGAAGCGAGAAGTTCTTGGTCCTACCCTGAAAAGAATATATTCACGAGGCACTCATAATCCAGACGCAGCGAGGCATTTGACCTTTTCCAGCTGCTATTCTAATTGGCCCCGGTAATCGTTGATAGCTTGACTCTTGTGATGTCAACTTCGCATTATAGGGTAATTAGTGTGTGAATCGCCGGCGGCATGTCGTGAGACTTGACTCTCTCCAACACACACCGCAACCTCATCTCAAATCTCCATACCTTATTCAGACAGCCTTGGATTTCACTCCACGCTTTCCATCTCGCTTATCACTAGCATCTCGTCCTTGTTTGTCCCCCCTTACCATTGGCCCGCCAAAAGCCTCGCTTCCCCAGAAAGCCCCGATTGCGACGCTGCCCGCGCGGGCACGAGACGCAGGAGCAGGGATTCAAGGATTCAAGGATAGCTTAGAGGCGGAATCAACTCGCAAATCTCCACTGCCGGGCAATTCTCATTCGCTCGGACATCTGCATCGTCCCTGTTCGGCAATTGAGGCCCTGCGTCTAGACGTGAAGCTGCTCCTCTTCCCCCGCATTCCTGCCATTGAGCGGTGCGACGGCGGCAACGATATCGGGCGTCTCTCTCTCTCTCTCTCCCTCTCGTCGCCGAGGCTCTCTCGCCTTTTCTCTTCTTTTCTTCTCATCTCTGCTCCTTTTATTTTTGTCTTCTTGTCTTCTTTTCAAGTCCATTTGAGAGACGCCTCTTCCTTGAGGCTTGAACTTGGGATCGGCGAGGTTGCAGCTTGTTGGCTTTGATTGTGCAATACATCGTTGATGGTGTGTTTGTATACAGCTGTCTAAAGACCATCCTTGTTACAAACGTTTCCAAGATGGATGCAAAACTGGAAGAAGCAATGGCTTCGCAAAAGGCGGATGTTGAAGCCATCACAATCTTCAAAGAAGTATGATCAATCCCCAAGCTGCTCCCTCTTCCTCTCATACGAAATGTATCAAGCAATCTAACACTCGCAATCTCCCAGGACCTCCCGCCCGCTCAAGCAGGCGTCATATCGGAAGCAGAGAAGAAGCTCCTCTGGAAGCAAGACATCCGCATCATCCCCATCTCGGCAGGCATCTACTTCCTCTGCTTCCTCGACCGCGCCAACATTGGCAACGCCAAAGTCCTCAACGTCACCACCCACGACGACCTGCAGCACACCGCCGGCATGAGCAACAAGCAGTTCAACGTCGCCCTCATGGTCTTTCTCGTTGCCTATGCCGTCTTTGAGGTGCCCAGCAACATCCTGCTCAAGAAGCTGCGCCCGAGCCGGTGGCTGGCCTTTCTCATGTTTTGCTGGGGCGTCATCACCATGTGTATGGGTGCCACCAACAGCTTCGGCAGCGTTACAGGAGTCCGATTCTTGCTTGGGGTGTTTGAAGCTGGCTTGTTTCCCGGACTGGTGTATTATATCACCTTCTGGTACCGAGACCACGAGCGCAGTGTTAGGTGAGAGACGAGTCTGCTTTGGCTTGGTTACTACAGACTGTTTGACTTATACGCGATCGGCTTAGGGTGGCCTTTATCCTTGCCTCGGCGACATTAGCAGGAGCTGTAAGTCCTTGTGCCATTCTTCGTTTGAATCTTGCCGTTTTTTTTTTCTGACCAGCGGCAATGCCTGCAGTTTGGCGGTGCCATTGCCTACGGAATCGGCCACATGAACCAAGTCCATGGCCTGGCCGGCTGGCGCTGGCTCTTCATCCTCGAAGGCATCCCGTCCTGCCTCTCCGCCTTCCTCGTCCTCTTTTTCCTCCCCGACTACCCTGAGAGCGCCACCTGGCTGTCCGAGCAGGAAAAGGACCTGGCCATCCAGCGCCTCTTTCACGAGGGCAGCAAGGGTCACCATCCCAGCATGACATGGCAAGACGCCAAGGCTACGCTCACCGACTGGCGTTTGTATGCTCACTACGCCATCTACTTTGCCGTCAGCCCGCCGTTTGCCAGCCTCAGCCTCTTTTCGCCGTCCATCACGAGCGGCCTTGGATATGTCGACCTGGAGGCGCAGCTCATGACGGTGCCCCCTTGGGCGGTTGCCTACGGTAAGTCCCCCCCCCCCCCCCCAGCTGCACAAACCACAACCGTACTGCCAGATACACTAGAAACCTGTTCTCGAAGTGGCTGACTTGACTCGTTATTCGCAGTCTGCCAAGTCTTGGTCGCGATATCAGCAGACCGCTTCAACGCCCGAGGCTATCACGCTGCGGGAGCTGCCCTCGTCGGCGCCGTCGGCTTCATCGCCTCGGCCGCTCTCCCGGCAACGTCCTACAAGGCTCGCTACGGAGGCCTCATCCTCGCCACCGCGGGCTCCTTTGCCAGCATCCCGCCGATGCTGGGCTGGCTGACGTCCAACGTCGTCAGCACCGCGTCCACGGGCCTCGCCATCGCCATCAACGTGAGCATCGGCGGAGGCCTGGGGCAGATCCCCGGCGTGTGGATCTACAAGGCGGACGAGGCCAAGAGGGGGTATCCCACGGGCCACTGGACGAATGCGGGCTTCTTGCTCTTTGTCGTGGCTGTTTGCTTGGGGCTGAGGGTGTTTTATGGGCGCAAGAACAAGGCCTTGATTGCGCATGGCGAGAGGGAGGGCGTTTCCGTGAGGCTGTACAAGCTCTGATGGACGTGGCTCCTTGATGATGGTTTATGGTTTATGAATCATGTTTGGCAACTTTTGATCTGGCGTGGCTTATACAATCGCAAGACAGCCGTATATAATCATCAATATTTGTGGACGCTGTGAGGCCTCATCACTCATGAGCGTTCCTGCTGCTGTTTCTGTCTAGGAGTCTGAGCAGATGCTTGCACAACTGAAGCTCTTGCCAGCGTCTTTTTCTTCTAATCATATGGGTTATCTCTAAGGAACCAATCCACCTAGAAGTTAGTTGTGTTATGGGTCGCAACATCTTGGTACTAATTCATGTCCCTTTAGAGTTGTGGTGTGTAAATGAATGATTATAATACTAGTACATGTATTTCCAGTCCCAACCTACAACCACCTGTGTGTGTCCTGACATGTGGGTATTTATCTGGAGGAAGACAGCCAGCGAATAACAACACTTCCAATCTCCCAGAAGGGAAGAAAACCTAGACAGCGTTCTCCAGTAGTCAAACATCACGCCCAGTGCCTCGATTAGACGATGCCATTCTCCAGTGAACCAAATCTGGGGATACATAGGGTCACCATCCGGCCGAGAAGCTCCGGGGAAGATGCATCTTGCAGACAAGACGCACCAACTCCACTTACTGCAACCCCATTTGCCTTGGAACCGGGTTCGAAGGACGGGCAGGACGGGGAACGAGGCTCGCCAGTTCCGTCTCGCCGTTTCCCCCGGAGTGATGCTGTTTGCATGTCGATCCTGTGTGGCAAATGATGGCATAGACTTCTTTGGAGAAGACGAGATTGTCCTTTCATGGTCCCAAAGGAACGCCTCAAAGGACACGAGCGTCTATAGTACATACAATACCTCGAATTACACAAAGGCAAGATGTGACCTGATCAACTTAATGCTCACTTCCAACTAGCAAAGTGAATGTCTCCGATACGTTGCGAGCTGTGTACAGTACTGATATCGTTCTTGTACTCGTACATGATGCATTATCAGAGCCCTGCATGTCAGACATCCAAGGCCGTTGAATCAAGTTGCACCATGACATCAGCAGTTTATGCGCCCTGCCGCGAGGCGACGGCTTCAACGTCATTGGCCTCCGGATGGGCTTGATGGCTGCCATGTCCGGCAAATCTCAACTCAAGCCTCTAGTAGTAAGAGATGTGCGCCAGTTGAGATGGACAAAGCTGCTTTACCAAGGCAATACTTCTCTGTTGTTGAGTGAGACAGGTAATAAGCGGTTTGTCAGTTCTGATCCATGTTTACAATCAGGACCTTCTGTCTGCCTGGGGGATCTGATGAGTGAGTCACATGTGTATGTTCAGCAGGTGAAGCCAAAGAAGCATGTGTCAAGAAGCTGTGTGCCTGGCCACGGGCAGCCTCACGAGAACACCGGTTCAGAAGGATGCAAGCAGAAGTAGAGAATCGAGGCCAACAACAGATATCATGGTGTGTGCTTTTGATACTATGGCGCACCCGTGATGATGTCGAAACAAGGTCCAGTCTCAGGTACCGGAACGTGTAAATGACGGCTTAGACTTGGGGCGGCCCACTGTGACGCACGATGACTGCATCCTACAGGTATACATACAACAACGCCGCATCTTTGACGGTATGTACGAGTACTTGTGCAAAGACCAGCAGATGGCGAGCATGGGCGATGTGCAGCGGCCTCTTCTTTTCTATTTTGTCCCCTGATTTTCTGGGCGTCGTTCCGGGTTAGTAGTAGTTGCAACTGGCCTCTCATCACGATGCACCCGTAACGTAATCACAGAGGATCGCCATTAGTCTGATGCACGCCTGAGCCAAAAAAAAAAAAAAAAAAAAAGGCTTGATCGAGGGCCAGCGCGATGCCAGAACGAGCCTGGCGATGCGCAGTATGTAAAGATGAGAAATGAATGTTCCCCTGTCCTTTGAGTTCTCACAAATCTATATGTATATAAATGTACATGCTTTTTGAAGACGGTTGGACTTCATACCAGTGCCACACTCTGCACAGTCCGGTGCTCAGCAATCGGCACTCACTCTTGATGGTGTCTTAGGTAGATGTAGGTACTGTACATCACACATTCTAGCCAGCCCCAGATCGCGCAAGATGAACCATTTCAGGCACCTCACCGAAACAACTGCCGCGGCCTGATACCATCAAGTATTTAGTGCTAACTTGGTCGACCTAGATCTCAAGACACGATTAGACGTGATTCTTCCCGCAAGTGATACCGCTAAAGGATCATTTGGTGGAAGCAAGGAAACGGGCATCCAAAACATGGCGTCTCTGCCCTGGTCCTTCCCAAAGTCGCGTGGCGCCGCAAGGATGACGTCGGCTGCGGCGTCATTGTCGCGGATCCAACTCGCGCCCCGCCAAAGGGAGAGAAGGAGAAAAAAAGAGGAAGAAGGGAAAAAAAAAGAAAAAAAAAAAAAAGGCCAAACACACCCTGCTGCAGGAAGTAGCCGGTACTTCTGTGGTGAGCCAATAGTGCTCGTTGGGGGAGGTATCGCAACAGCTTCGAGTACTTTGGGCAGCTAGCAGAAAAAAGAGGTGCTGCGATCCATCATGATGCATTTGCTCCGTTCTGGCAAGAGATTTGGTTTCCGCCCGTGGTCTTGGCATCGGTCATCCATGTGCGTTAGTACCTGATGTATACATGTAGCAAAAGTACACCTTGTCCTGCCATGATGCTGATGAAATCCCCCCCTCCTTTCGCATCTGTGCAGTGCCATGATGCATGAATTCCCTGGCAGGTGAACGATGCAGGTTCCTTGGTTCTAACTTCAACCGTGTTGGTCTACCCTTTCATCGCCCATTGTCTCATGCAGGTGTCCTTGCTTTGGAACAGGCCAACAGTCAGCTGTCGACGACGGCATCAGATCAGTCTCCAGATGGCATCCGGTGCCAGTGCAGTGCATGAGACACGATTGGCTGTTCTGTGCCCTCGCCACCGGCTGGCTGTGCGATGCTCGATACTCACTCAATACCTCGTCAATAGCCATCGCCCGGGGATCACGGTGGAATCCGTCCTTGCCCTCCAGCTCTGCAGCTTCGATTTACCCACCCCGCGGTTGAAGCTGCAGGCCTCTGCGGTCTCGACCCGTAGCGTCGCATCATGCCTCGAGGTCTAGATCTACCGGAGCAAAAAAAAGACGGGAGGCAGCCCTGGAGGGAAACGAGTCTAGGCGCTGCCGATTCAAGGTTACAGGCCGCCCTTGTAAGCACGGCTGGCGCCCGGTCAGCGGTAAGGCCTTGTCGTTAATGTACGCAGTATATCCATGCCCGTGCAGTACCTGTCTTCCAGGTTTTTGCTTGCCCGCAGGCGGGAGAGGGAATGTGACGCTGCTGTGCCCTTTTTTGGCCTCGCCGTCAGTACTATGTATGTACTTGGAAGCTGTACCTGTACCTGTACCTGTATTTGTTTGGTGAGGCGTCTTGACATCAAATGTCCTGCAGGCTAGAGTTGGAGTGATGGCACCTGCTGCAGCCAAGGGACAGGAGAGGGCGGGTTAGCTGATGGAAAGCAGCTGTTGCAATCCGCCTACGTGCGTCATCACCACCCGAGTGCAGGACGACTCGACGTCAACTCCCTCTACCTTCTAGACACTGTTACCAAGAGTACCTGAATACTATTCAAATTGTAGCAAACTGTTATATCAATAGAAAAATAATGATCTCCATCCCATTTCTTACTCTACTCTCTCTCTCTCACACTTTCATAATTATTAATCCTTCAGCTTCCATCTTTTACCCCCCCCTTGCCCTGCTGCCAAGTCTTCTTCGATCGCCTGTTAGTGCAGCTGCAGCGGCTAACGCCACTAAACGCTGCCCAAGTCCCCAGTCCTTCTACTACCATCCCCCCCTCTGCCTTACCAAGCCTAGCCTCTTGCAGGCGCACCAGCCGCACGTCACTCACCTGTGCTGTGTCTGGCCTGGAACTGGCCTGAACGGGCCTGAACTGCACTGCACACTGCACTGAACTGGACCAAACCTTGAATTCTAGTGGTGACGGCGCCGGAACCATCCACCTGCAGCTTGAATTCACTAAACAGCCCCCCCCAGCACCACCTGCTGCCGCCCGCTAAAAGCGATTCCCTTCCGCTGCCTCGATACTTCCTCCGTCTTCCTCTCTTTTCCTTCATCCACCTCGTCCCTCGCCAGCGGTCAAATCCTTCTCCCTTCTTCACACCCTCGATATCGCTTTGCCGTTTCTGCTTCTCCCACCCGCTCACACTTCCACCATAGAGCCTTTATTCCCCTAGACGGCCAAAGAAACACAAGGGACAGAAGAGAGAAAAGTACCCTCTTGTTTGCTTGCCAGCACTGCAAACTCCTTTCAAAACCCCGCATCATCACTCATCGCACTTTGCCTCCACGCAGAAACAAAATCGCCGTCAGACATCATCGCGTTACTGCTGTGCTCCGATTCTTCTGATTGAGCTTCTGCAAAAGAAGTCGTCTCCAATACACGATTTCTTATCCTCAATTTCCCCTACGACGCCCGATTATAGAGGGTTCCGAAAAGAAGCAACTGTTGAATTGCGCTACATAGAATTGAGGTTGCATTTCGCCTACTCCAACTTGCACTTTTCGCCGCGCTGTCGCTCGCCAGCGGCATCTCTCGGTAACCATGTCGACCATTCAACAGCTCAAGAACTTTATTCGCCATGGTAAGATCTATCCTTGCCAACTACTCTGCTCTTACGCCCATCCTCAATGAGCCTCGCCATCTCCAGCTCATGCCTCCTCCTCCAAAGTACGCACGCAGGGTGTGGCTGACAAGATTGAATTCTAGGCAAGCAAGCACGCACTGCCAACTTCGCCGAAGAACAACGCAAGAGTGACGCCCCTCCCCAGTCCGTACCACAGCCGCCCCCAGAAAAGTCCGTGGCAACAGGCCCCCTGTATGGCAAGGCTCCCGGGCACCAGGAGCCTCTTGCAGCATACTCCGAGGCGCCCAACGACCAGCAGAACCGCGCAGCGCAGGCCGCCCACGCCGCAGCTCACCATGTCGAGCCCGCTCAAGCCAATGGTACCAAAAACAGGAAAATCGACGAGGCGAATCTGGCCCAGATCATTGCCGAGGAGAATGCCAGCAAGAGCAAGTTCCCCAAGTATCCCGATCTAGACCGCTGGGAGCTCCTCGAGAAGATGGGTGATGGCGCCTTCAGCAATGTCTATCGTGCGCGCGATTTGCAAGGAGAACATGGCGAAGTGGCCATCAAGGTCGTGCGCAAGTACGAGATGAATCGCATGCAAGTAAGTTTGGCTCATTTGCTTTGTCATTTTCCTTTTTTCTTGCTTGCCTGCCTGTTGCTGCCATGACAGCCGGTCTCCCTTTTAGCTGGCTCGTTGTATCTGTCTCTGTCTTCTCGCTTCTATCCCGCTTTTACCAACCACGGCGAGGGGTTTCCCCTGAATAGGGAAACAAACATTTACATCCAGACTTCAAGAAGATACCAAAGGCTGCAGAGGTGCGAAAACAAATTTTCCTTAAACTATCTCATTGCTTTCAGTCCCTCGTCCTGAGGGTACGCATTGTATACATCGGGGCCAGAAGTCGTGGCCTCTGATGCAGGGAAACGATAGCCGCAATTACAGATGTGCTAACAGGTCCATCTAGCGCTCCAATATCCTCAAGGAAGTCCAGATCATGCGCCAGCTTGATCACCCCAACATCATCAAGCTCATCGAGTTCTCCGAGTCCAAGCAGTACTACTACATCGTTCTGGAGCTCGCCCCCGGCGGCGAGCTGTTCCACCAGATCGTACGCCTGACCTACTTCAGCGAGGAACTCTCTCGCCATGTCATCGTGCGAGTCGCCAGAGCGCTCGAATATCTGCACGAGGAGAAGGGCGTTGTTCATCGGTACGTTTCTTGGCTGCACACTCACCCGCCTCATTTCTAAGCAGACCCAAACCAAACAAAACAAAATGGTGGGACAGGGGTTGTCAGAGTCCCGCGCTGACGTCATGGCCACCCCCCCTTGTCCACTCAAAAGGCATACCTGTGCGCGACCCGTGCTGACTCATCCATAACAGTGACATCAAGCCGGAGAATATCCTCTTCAACCCGATACCGTTCATTCCGTCCAAGCACCCGAAGCCGAAGCAGCCTGGAGATGAGGACAAGGTTGACGAGGGCGAGTTCATCCCCGGCTTGGGAGCCGGCGGCATTGGCGAGATCAAGATTGCCGACTTTGGCCTGTCCAAGATCGTCTGGGAGGCACAGACCATGACGCCTTGTGGCACCGTTGGCTACACTGCGCCCGAGATCGTCAAGGATGAGCGATACTCCAAGTCGGTGGACATGTGGGCGCTCGGCTGCGTGCTTTACACCCTGCTCTGCGGATTCCCGCCCTTTTACGATGAGAGCATCGAGGTGCTCACCGAAAAGGTTGCCAAGGGCCAGTACACTTTCCTGTCACCATGGTGGGACGAAATCTCGTCTTCGGCTAAGGACCTCATCAGCCACCTGTTGACAGTGGATCCTGAGAAGCGTTACACCATTCGAGAATTCCTCGCCCACCCCTGGATCCAGGAGGTTGGACCGACGCCTCGAGACGAAAAGGCACCGGGCATGGTGCCGCTCAAGCAGTTCACCGCCACCCAGTTTGAAGAAAACGGAAAGCGGTACGACTTCCGATCCCCCGCTGCCGTCAACCTTCGCGAGGTGTTCGATGTCAGCTATGCCGTCCACCGCCAGGAGGAGGAGGCCAAGAGAAGAGCTCAGCTTGGAGCCCGGGCCGGCGGTGCGGGACGTCCTCTGGGTGGCCTCAACGAAGAGGAAGAAGAGGACGAGGAAGAAGAGGATAGCGACGTCGACAACATGGACGTCGACAAGGAATCCGCCGACAACAACAAGACGCGGGCTCTGGAACAGAGCATGCAGAGAGCCAAAATCCAGGACCATGACAACACCCAGACCCGTGGTCGCGAGCGGGAACGAGCTGGCGAGAGAGGCTATGGGCAGCATTCGGCCGCCGTGACCGCTGCCGCACGCCAGCAGGTGCGCGAGAGGCAACGTCAAAAGGGCGCGTTTGAGCTCAATCTCGACAATGCAACGCTGCTGGGCAAGCGAGGCAAGAAGGTTCCCGTCATGGGAGCATAGGGGCTCAACTTGGATGGATCATCGAGGCCTGCAACGCCAAAAGATGTAGCCGCCGTGGACGGCATATTCGACATGGATATGTCGCCCGGTGCGAGCGAGGCTGCGGGGCCGGCTGACGGGCGCGACTCCATGATACGCGACGTTTTACAATCCGGCATTGAGAGCGCGGCGGATCACGAGGAAAACGTGCTCGTCGCATCACACAGGGCGCACACGGCTTGACGCCGTTCCAGGAGGCGTATTGGAGTAACGAGGAAACGGGTTCGGGAATGGTTCTGAGAGCGTCCATTTTTATTATTTGCTTTATCTTGTATCCAACTTTGCTCCATCCTGTAGAACAAGGCAATGGAAAGACTAGCGGTGGAAATTTGAAGACGAATCGTGATTGACGCAGCACTCGAGGCAGTCGTGGAGGTGCTTATTCCCCAGTGACATGCCTGGGTTTTTCTTTCTTATTTTATAGACGAACTATCAATCTATGGGTATCGGAATGCGTGTTGTTTGAGAGTCCGCTCTGACTGCATACTCTGTCCGGTTCTTGATCTTCGTGTGCCTTGGTATTCATTCTCTTCCTGTCGAGTAGTTGGGTGACTGTTCTTGTACCCGCCTTTGTCCCGTCTTGCTTCCCCCCCCCGCTTATATCGTAAAGCCGTCTCTTGCTTCACCATGACCCAGCATATCCAATGATTCATTGCTCTAGAGATCAATCGTCCAGCTTCATAGCCCTCTCATGTCATGTTGTGCGTTGAGCCAAAAGAAAACAAAAAGACAAAAACCAAAGAAAAAGGGATAGAAAACAAGAAAAACATTCTCTTGCCCAGCCATATCCGTTGAACCCATCAGAAAACAAGTCTTGTTCATTCTTTGGTACAAAAGGACTCCGATCCATCATGTGAGAGAGTAACAGAAGGGGGAAAAAAGCAAAGGAAAGAAAAAGAAGGAAAAGATAACAAGGAAAGGGGATATCGTGGTCAAATTGACTTCTTGTCCATAAAGGCTGTACAAAGGAAATAAAAAGCACACAGACAGAAAAAAAGGGAAATGGAGAAGACAGGTGACAGATAGAATTAAGCCAAGATCCGTAGATATTTGGCGGTCCAGTCCGAGATGTGTCCAGCGTTGATCGGTGAAATCAGAAGTCGAGATTGACAAATCGCAGTAAATCAGTGCGCTGATAAACAAAAAGGTATGCATTTCGCATCATTGCTTCCTCCTTCTTTCGAAGGGTTGAGAGTATTTGTGATTTGATGTGAGGGAGGCATCTGGCTGGCCTTACAAGCATCATATCCAAGGTCTTGATTCGTGGCGGTTCGATCGTGTCCTCCTTGGTACAGGCGGAGGGCCCAGAGGCTGTATGTGCGGCGTAGAGTCCGAAGGGTTATACCGATGGAAAGGTGCAAAAGGTGGCGGAGGCATTCGAGACGAGGGCGACATCAAGGGCGGCGCGAGGAAGTACTGCGGCGAGACCATGCCGGCAGACTGGGAGAATCCCGAGTCGGAGGTTGCTGGCGAAGAGATGTTGGACGTCATCAGCGGCCGGGCGTTTGGCAGGCGTTTGGTAACTCTGCGGAGAGACGGCGGCGTGGTGCTGTTTTCGGACTCTGAGAGGTCCGAGTCGTGGTAGCTGTGGTGTGTCTGGCTCTGGCTGAAGGCTGGGTTGTAGTTGTTGGCGAAGCTTTGGCCGTAGCCTCCCTGATCGTAGTCCTGACTGTATCCCTGGCCGTATCCGTAGTTTTGGCTGTAGGTTTGGCCGTAAGTTTGACCATGGTTGTGGCTGTAATTCTGGGCATAATTTTGGCCGTAGTTCTGATTATAGTTGTGGTTATAGTTGTGGTTGTAGTTCTGGCCATGGTTGTGATTGTAGTTCTGGCCATAGTTTTGTCCATAGCCGTAGCTGTGGTTGCGACCATGAGCATACGCACCGTTATTGTTGTTGCCATAGGTGTAATTGCTGCCGTTGCTGCCATAGTTGTAGTTGCTGTAGCCGCTGTAGCCGCTGTGGCTGCTGTTGTAGCTGTTGAGGCTGTAGCGGCTCGCCGAGGGCCGGGCTCGCGGCCGTGGAGGCGGCAGAGCCTGGTCGTCCGTCTGCTGCCAGGCCTTGAGGCTGCCGTCGCTCTGGACCTCGAGGCCGGCGGCAGCAAAGAGCGGCACCGTCTCGGGGTACGAGAGAGTGAAGGGAATCCAGAAGGAGCGGCTGATGATGTCGCGCGCGCGCTCGGGCGTCAGGCGCTGGATCGGATCCGAGGGCGGGATCTCGGCCATGCGCTTGAGGGTCCAGGCCAGGTACCGCGCATAGAGGGCCTGGCGGTCGGTGGACGAGGAATGCAGGCGGAAGACGTAGCTGCGGGCGATTGTGTTTGCGATGCTGGGCAGCGTCACCATGCTGGCCTGGCCGGGGCCGACGCGCACGACCTCGAGGGCCTCGAAGCCGTTCTTCATGAACTTGATGCACACGGGGCACGAGCGGCCGTTGGCGACGCGCACGCTGAAGCCGTCGGGGTTGTCGGGCAACGGCGTCATGCCCTTGGCCAGCGCCCAGCAGCGGATGGCCTCCTTGGACTCTTCGGGACAGGTGATGCTGACGTGGTCGGGCGAGTAGGCGCGGTAGCCGTAGTAGATGAGGGCGGCGGTTCCGCAGACGGCGTAGGGAATGTGGTCGAACAGGCGGCCGACGCAGTCGACGACCTCGTTGACCGTGGCCACGTCCATGGTGGCTATTGTTCGTTTGTTGTGCCGAAACAGTTCGGTGCTGATGAGGGGGGTGTTATCGTATTGCGAGAATTCGAGAATGAGGGTCTGCGATTCAATTTGCGGCTTCGGGAGACGAAGGCATCGGGGTGTTCCACTGCCAATGTTTGTTGACGCCGTTGATGATCGTTCGGGCAACGCTGCAGATGGCGTCGATGCTGTGTATCTAGGATTCTGCTTGTCGGCAATGCTTGTTGGTGTTTCTTGATTCACCAGCCCGCCGTCAAACTGCCAGCACCACCACGGCCACCTCGACGTGGTCGCTGGGGGGGAAGCGATGGTGGCGCTAGTTGGTATGAGAGGGAAGCAGGAGGAGGAGGAAGAGTCCGTAAATAGAGAGATGTGCAGATTGTGGGATGGCTGTTGGGTAATGTGACCGCACTACCACTCACTACTCCCGCCTAGTACATGTACATACGAGAGGCGGCAGCAGGGAACAGAGAAATATCACTGGCTCGTGGTTGTACTGCCGGTCTGCACCTATGTAAGGTGTGTATGTACTCCGTCGTGAAGGTAGCAATAATGATTGATACCTGTAAGATGCTACCTTGGTAGTTGTCACAATGCTTGTCGATAACTGGGACAATAGCGTTGCCCTTTGCTCGCAACACGGCGCAACTCGTCTCTGGGAATGGTCTTGGAGACAATTGGGCTCCCCCCTGCCCCATGTAAGGTAGACGCACGAAATGCCGGCGCCGCAGGGGAGGATGCGAAGAAGAGGATGCGATGCGATGCCCGTGTCCTTGTGGCTCTTTGTTCAAATTCCCTGCGTTTGCAGTTGTGGCTCCTGCCTGCAGGTGATGGCGACGGCAATGATGACAGCAGCAGCAGCAACAACAGCAGCAACAGGGGGCACAAAAGCAAGCGGGCGGATCTTGCTGCTACGAGGGTTCGACAGCCGCGATTGTCGACGAGAATCAACGGAGCGTGAAGAAGCGTCAAGAGAGAAGACGGGGGGGAGAGAGAGTCGAAGCCGAGTGTCTGCGCGGGAGTTGCAAGAAGTGCGCGCAGTCAGAAGAAGAAGAAGAAGAAGCAGCAGCCGCGGCTTCAGTCCATGGCTCCTCCAGCGCCGATTGAATTGGATGGTGAGTGGTTTGAGCCAACGAGTGAACGAACGAGCGAGCGAACGAATGAACGAACGAACGAATGAATGAATGTTCAAATGCTTGTCTCTCTGTCTGTCTGTCTGTCTGTCCGTCTGTCTCGAGCAAGGGAAAATGCACGAGCAGAAGCGAAAGCGGGCTGCGGTTCCCTCCCCTGCACGTCATTGGCACTGTACGGAGAAACACCAGACCCCAAGCGCAGTGGAAAGCCTAAGCCTGGCTGGCGGATTCCTCGATCAAACTGCTTCTGCAGGTGGTCTCAACTGCACGGTTCCGCACGTTCTTCCTGGGCAGCGAATCGAGCCCCTACCGACGCTTCTCTCGCTTCCAACTGGTTCCCTTGCTGAGCCCCTTGGCAGCGGCTACTGCAGTGCTCGCAGCAGCGCCTCCAATCCGCGGTGACTGCCGGGCGGAGGCTGAGGCGCGTCGCCCTTTTGCCGCAGCTGATGATAGTACATACCTAGCATTGGGCGTACGAGTAATAAATAGGTACCTAGAATGCACGCAGGTATTGGACACCAGGGGAGGGGGGGGGCCTGCGCACTGTGGCGGCTGCACGGACAGGGGGTGGGAATGGGAAGAGAAAGCAGCAGAGCCTGTCCTGTCTCGTCTCTCGTGTGCGTGCGTGCGTGCATGGCGCGAGACATGAGAAAAGACGGAGACGACTGGAGACAGCTTCATGGATGTGCTGCAGCGAATCCCGGCTCCAGTCACTACTTGTTCCACAGGGCCCTTGTTTTTTTTTTTTTTTCTTTCTTTCTTGCTTTTTGGCCTTGACCTTGTCCTTTCTCCAGTCCGCGTCTTGTCTTGCGCCGTTTCCGGTCCCTCGTGTGTTTATTAGCGCCGGGCGAGGATAGTACTATTCGAGTTCAAGGTCTGTATTACATACATTTGTACTAGTACTAGTAGTACTTGTATTAACAAGTTCCTCGCTGTGGGAATGTGGTACTTGGTGTTGAAGTTGAGAATGCCTTCATTCTGCTAATAGGTATCAGAGGCTGCTCACCGACATCACTTCGAAAAAAAAACTCTTCATACATACGTAAATGCAGACGCGCATACGAAATTCCAGCTACTGCATCCGCCATCACAAAAGCCCGCAGTAGCCGCACCGCACATCCAGCTTGCTGCAGCCAACAGGAAAACAAACCAAAGCACCACATCAACAACTTGAACAGCAAAGAAAAGGCAGCACTTGTACTCTGTCTGTCCTCCCAATACAAAGCACCAGAACAAGGGGAGGGGAGGGTCTTGCAGGACGCCGATGAATCAGCCCCCCCCCCTGCTCACCCACTCTGTGGCTCCGTCCTCCTTCAGGGGTCCCTCCTCATCCCCCCTCCTCTCTGCAAGAAGCCCAAAGTGAACACAGGGCCTCTCTGTCGACCAGCCAGTGACAAGCAAAATGCACGTACATGGTGCTTCTGTGCAGAACAGAGAGTCGAACCAGTGCCGCCTGATGCCAGAAAAACCGCCGTGTGACTGCTGCCAAGCTTTGCGGCATCCTTTCTTTTCCAAGACCCCCCCTCAAGCGAGGAGGACACAAGAGGCATGCATTTTTCTTCGGTTGTCTTGTGTGAGTGGCGAAACACACGCACACACTCTCGAGGAAGCTGGGAAAATACGTAATCTATCTGCCTCTTTCTTCTCTGCTGTACTATTTCCTGATGCTCTCTTTCATCGGCTTGACCTTTGTTTCTTTGAATTTTTGTTGGGATTTGCATCTATAGTATATACAAGGAGCGTTACTCAGCAGACACATCACGCGGCGTTGTTCACGACATGATATGACATGACGATGCACACCCACGTGCAAGTCATTACCCAAGGTGGTAGTAGGCTCTCCATCTCAGATCCTACTGCTTGTAGCATTGCACAGCAACATCCTCCCATCTTCTGCATCATCATCATCATCTTCAGAAAACCTCTTCTAGGCTATGAGTTAGGTATCCTTTACATCAGGCATCAAAACACACTGCACTCTCCATGAAGTGCACAACCACCATGATCACACATCTGCTAAGCTACATGCACATACAGTAATAGCTCAACCACACCCAAACATCACATCAACACGTCAGCGAGATCATCACCCGAAAAAAGGCGGAACATGGTTCAGAAAAACCAGAAAGAAAGGCAATCAAGGTGCAGTGACATGTCATGATTCGTGCTGCCCAACGACGGCTTCATGCCCCGGTGCAAGGGGGCCCTACACATTCCTCCCGAAGCGACCAAAGAAAACCCGACGACACGGGACACCGCACGCCCACTCTATCTGTGTGTGCTTAGCTGCTAATACTACTAAGTAATGGCTCATGGTCACGCATAACCACCATCTGACCAGCCCAGAGACCCCCCAACCGGTCAGAGTCTGTCATTCAAGGCTGCGTCTCTCCCTCAAACCCCCCCGCCTCTTCAAACCCCAATGCAGCAGCGGTTTGCCAACATTTTCTACAGTCTCCTCTTGTTGTGCCAACCATGACCAGCGTGCTCCAGCTATCACATTAACCATGTGTGTGTGTGCCTGTGTGTGTGTGAGAGTATGCAGCCGCAGCAGCACTGAACAAATACTAGTGCGAGCATGTGGTCGTAATGGTTGCCCTCCTCGTGTTGCTACTCGTCTATAACTCCTCCTCCGTCTCCATCTGGTCGCCGTTTGACTGGGCTAGCGCTCCGTTCTTCTTGGGCATCGTCGCCTCCTTGTCAATCATCTGCCTCGACACCGACACAATGTTGTCCTCAATCAGCTCCTGGCCAACGTCCTCCAGATGCTTCTTGGGGTCCAGCTTGCCGACGTAGCGCGTCTTGAGTTGCTCCTTGGTCAGCTCCGTCTCCTCCTTGACCCTCTTCTCGTAGCCGTCTGCCAGGCTGACCAGCCTCTGCAGCCGCTCCTTGTTCTTCTGCCCCTCCGTCCGGAAGTCGTCCATCTCCAGCGCTTCCGTCCACACGTGCTTGTGGAGGTTCATCAGCATGTTCTCCTCCAGCGCCGTCTTGCGGTAGTTGATGGCGATCGAGTAGTAGTGTCGGTTGAGGCCGTGGATCAGCGCCTGGATCGATGGCTTGTTGAGGTGACCCAGGTTGCTCGTGCTCTGGCGCGGCTCCTGGCCCATCATGAGCAGCTGGGGGTTGATGAGCCGGAAGGCATCAATCACGACCTTGCCCTTCACCGACTGTATGGGATCGACGACCACCGCCACTGCGCGCGGGTTAAGCTGCTCGAATGACTGCTGAGTGTTGATGTCCACCGATGAAAGCCAGCAGCCAAAGCCAGGGTGGGAATGGTACCAGCCAACAACGGATTCCGGCCTGTCCGCCTCTGTTAGCCATCCCTTCCATCATTGCAACATCGAATTCTCTGCGAGCCGGCCCGGCCGGCTCCTCGTCGCCAGTATGAGCTCACCTTCCAGTTTGCCGCAGCATATCCATCATCTTTGTCTGAAACACCGGGTCGACAGCTTCGACACTGACACCCGTACCGCTCTGTGGCATGGCAAACACGTCCATGACCTTGACTGTGAAATCGTCGACGAACTCGCCCAGCATCAGTCCCATGACTTCCATCGGCACGCCCGCGCGGCCGTGCCGGAGCATCTTGAGCAGGGCCAGGGACGAGATGTAGACCGTTTCCGAGTTATCGATGAGGCTAGTGTTATCCTAAGAGGCACGATCATCGTTAGCCGCACGTCTCCTCGGCTCTCCCAGCTACCTAGACGCTCCCTGTTGATGATCCATCCAAAAAGTATCGATGGATTAAGACAACAAGCATGAGGGAGCTCCGAGCATCGTCATGACGGAATGAAGGCTTACCGTCCCAGGCGTAACTCCTCCCAGGCCCATGCCACCTCCACCCAGCAGATTCCTAAATCGCTCCATGGTTGCGGCTGTAAAGATTGGAGAGGACGGAAAGTCGAGTCGGGAGAGTAGAGATTGTGAGGCTGTCGTGGTGGTGCGAAAAGAGGTGCGTGTATGCTGAAAGCTCGAGGTTGGAGGCTGAGGAAACCAGGCGTTGGCTTAGTAGCACCTTAGCTTGCTGATACCTTGGGTCGTCCCGCCACGACAAGTTGACGCAGTTGTTCGGCAGCCTGCTACAGGGGTGAGCTGCTGAATCATCACATCACGTGCTGCTCTGCTGTTTCTGCAAGCTCTGATCCTTGAGTTCAAGAGTTCAAGGCTCATGAGCAATTGGGACGGCAAGCATGTGTTCCCAAACAGAGCACTTCTGCTTGGTATGAATCCCTAATCTTTTCCCATGATCAAACTCAATATCAAGATCACGAATTATTGCTTCAAAAGTCAATCCCACGTGGAAAGCCGTTGAGACCGTCCATCTCACAAGTGCCGCATCTCTCTCGTGAACCAATCGGAAGTCGTTGGCGCTTCCAAACTTGGGTGGGCTCGCAGCCTTGCCGCAGCAAGGTTTATCCGGCCTTTGCCGCATTAGCACCAAGTGCCAGGTGCAGCCGCCTCTCTATTACCAGCTAAACTTTGGGGCGGCGCGTTTCCTTATACACATCTTTCGGCTATCGTTTCCCTCATCGTTTCTACAACTTTCTCTCACCTTTTCCTCACTATAAATATGCAGAGCTGCCCTTGACTCTGCCATCAATCGCATCGCTGCTTCTTCTACACCCCAACCTGTCACTCTTACCAACCGACATCGATCATTTCTTCCCGCCAACTGACGCATTTTCACTCTCGCGCTCTCTGACAAGCAAGCTCCTTGCATTGCTGCAGCTTTTGCAATGGGCGAGAGCAACATGGCGGGCCTCGGGTCCGTGGCCCTCAACGGGTCGTCACCCAAGAAGGTCGCCTACTTTTACGATTCCGACATTGGCAACTACGCCTATGTCACCGGCCATCCCATGAAGCCGCACCGCATTCGACTGGCCCACAGCTTGATTATGCAGTACGGCCTGTACCAGAAGATGGAGATTTACGTATGTCAACCATGACGACTAAACCCCCAGCAGTCGCTCAATGATGGCGGCCTTGCGAATCTCATGAAATGCTAACAAGGGCAAACAGCGCGCCAAACCGGCCACTCGCGGCGAAATGACCCAGTTCCATACCGACGACTACATCGACTTTCTCCAAAAGGTCACGCCAGACAACATGGACAGCTACATGAGGGAGCAGGGCAAATACAACGTCGGCGACGACTGTCCCGTATTTGATGGCCTTTTCGAGTTCTGCGGCATCAGTGCCGGCGGCAGTATGGAGGGCGCAGCGCGTCTGAACCGGCAAAAGTGCGACATCGCCATCAACTGGGCCGGAGGCCTGCACCACGCCAAGAAGTGCGAAGCCAGCGGCTTCTGCTATGTGAATGGTGCGTTTCCACACCTCATATTGCCAAATAATCTCTGCATTTTGAAGCTAACCATTTCAACACAGATATTGTCCTCGGTATCCTCGAGCTTCTTCGATTCATGAAGCGCGTGCTCTACATCGACATTGACGTTCACCACGGCGACGGCGTCGAAGAGGCCTTTTACACCACCGACCGTGTCATGACCGTGTCATTTCACAAATACGGCGAATACTTCCCCGGTACCGGCGAGCTCCGCGACATTGGCATTGGACAGGGCAAGAACTACGCTGTCAACTTCCCGCTCCGCGATGGCATCACCGACGAGTCGTACAAGTCCATCTTTGAGCCGGTTATTGAGAACGTCATGAAGTACTTCCAGCCCGAGGCCGTTGTCCTGCAATGCGGTGGCGACAGTCTGTCTGGCGATCGCCTGGGAGCCTTCAACCTGAGCATGGACGGCCACGCCAACTGCGTCAACTTCGTCAAGAGCTTCAACCTACCCACTCTGGTTCTCGGCGGCGGTGGCTACACCATGCGCAATGTTGCCCGAACCTGGGCGTTTGAGACCGGTGTTCTGGTTGGCCAGGAGATGGACCGGGCTCTGCCATACAATGAGTACTATGAGGTTTGTCTCCCTATTCTCCCATTAAGCTTCCTCGTGGTCTGCGCGCTAACATTAGGCTTTTCAGTACTATGCTCCCGACTTTGAACTCAACGTGCGAGCGTCCAACATGGAGAACTCAAACAGCCGGGAGTACCTGGAGAAGATCACCGCTGCTGTGATTGACAACCTGCGCCATACTGGCCCTGCCCCCTCTGTCCAGATGCAGGACGTCCCTCGCAAGCCCTTTGGTGGAATGACGGATGAGGAGGAGGCCGAGCTAGATGACCTCGATGAAGACGAGAACAAGGACGTCCGAATGTCGGAGCGGCAGTGGGACAAGCACGTGGAGAACGGAGCCGAATTCGATGCCAGCGATGATGAGGACATGGCCGCCGAGAACGGAAAGACCCGCAGCAAGGGCAACAAGAGAACCTTTACCGACTTCCGGACAGGCGAGCCTGAGGAAAAGAGCGAACGCCCGTCGCCTGTACCTGCCGCCGCTGCCGCTGCCACTGCCACTGCCACTGCCACTGCCACTGCCGCTACGAATGGCGATGCTTCCGAGGCCCCAGCGGCCGAGGATGCCCACGATATCAATGATGACACCATTGAGGACTTTGCTGCTGCTGGCGAGCAGGACAAGGCCTCAGCAGACAAGATGGACGAGACTAAAGAACCCGAAAAGGAGAAAGAACCTGAAGCCGAAGCGGCAAAGGAGGATGAGCCTGAAAAGGAGCAAGAACCCGAAAAGGCCACTGTGGACGACGATGGCGATGTTGGCATGGCTGACTCGGAGCCCAAGGACGAGATGACGATCAAGAAGGAGGACGTCGAGCCTGAACCCGTACCCGAGCACGTTCCCAGCAAGAGCCCCGCGGTGGAAGAAAAGCCGACCGAAGAACCCGAAGCGGTTGCCGCCCCAGCTGCCCCTGCCGAAGAAGAAGAAGCCGCTTCTGTCCCAGAAGAGCCAAAGGCGCCTGAGGCTGAGCAAGCCAAGTCCCCCGAGGCGGCGCCATCCGATGCCAAGGAAAAGGAAAAGGAGGCCGAGGCTGCAGAGGCGGATGTGGACGCTATGGAGGTTGACCAGGACAAGGACGAAGCTGAGCCGAAGAAGGCCAGCACGCCGCCCGCGTAAGCCTGTGCAGGCGAGCGAGGCATTCAGCATTCAGCATTCAGCATTCAGCACCCGTCTGCAAGCTTGAAAGCCAGAGAGTTGGTTTACATGAAGCTGAAGAGCTTCGGTTTGATTGATGCAATTTACGTCGTAGAAGGGTAGGATTGGGGCGAAGGAGGCGTTTCCGGCGTGAGGGATACCTACAAGCCATATCACATCAGATGGTGAGATGTTCGAACCATCTGTTGAGCGCTGGGGTAATGTCTTCTCTTGTGTCTTTTTGTTGCTTTCTTGTTTTCTGATTTATACGGAGTCTATATCCATAGCGCGTGCAGATTTCTATTACGACGATAATACAATGACAGATGTCTACATAGTCCTGCTAGTAGAGGATTGAATACAGCGTTGCTTGATGCAAGTTGAACACACTGCTCATTCTCTTTCAGTGACTTACAACAACCCAACTCGGGGCTATCTTTATTAGCACCTACATATCTTCAAGGCAGTATTGAGACCCGTCTGCACCATCATGGCCCCGCCCCCACTAAAAGTACAAGACATCGGTACCTGAGCGGCCACCGAGATTCTCCCGGCGCGGCACAAGGTAAAAAAGGCAAGAGCTGCCAGGTCTCCACCCGCTTCCATTAAGGTCCAGGTATGATGGCAATTGGCAAGGCAAGAAAAAAGAAGAAAAAAAAAAAAAAAAGGTCCAAGAGCCTCGTCGTGTCCCACCACGATATGATAACGATTCCGACAATCTTTGCTGCTATCGCCCCGACGAGATAACGAATAACTTACGAACAAGACACCACTCAATATCATCAACCGCCGTCAATTGCTCCTCCAATGTCCATGTAGCGCCGGTATAGGCAGCCATTGATTCGAGAGCCCCGGCGAGAGGGCAGAAGGACGGGAATCCACGCGCCATTCAGCTCGGATTGACTCAGAGCCGGAAACCTCGACAAACCTCGATCAAGACCATTACCTCCTACGATCAAGAATCCTGTACCGTCTTCCACAAGCCACTGAATCCTCTCAACGACTGTACAAATCACCGCCCGTCACCACCTCCTCATCGCCTCTCCCCCCATCATATCACACAACACACACAAAGAGAGAAGACAAAAAGAACAAGGAAAAAACACACAAGATGTCGTCCTCAACCGCCGGTCCCGCGCGGACCCCCGGGGGCGACGTCGACGCGGCGAAGCTGGCCGTGCTCAAGGAGCTGCTGTACGAGCGATGCCGCGAAGAGGGCGACATGTTCTCGCAGGACGACCTGCTGCGCATGGACGTGATCCCCAACCGCGACCTGCTGCTGCTGGCGCGCGTGGTGCAGTCGCTCAGCGACGACAAGCTCTTCATCACGATGAGGGAGGCGTCGGGCCAGGTGCTGTGGAAGTGGCGCGACAAGCAGGAGGCGCACAAGTGAGTTTTCTTTCTTCTTCCCCCGAAACATGGTTGCTTCCAGAAGACGAAACGGTGGTCATTGGCGGGTTACTGATTACCCATGTGTGTTTGCGTGTGTGTGCTTCCAGATACAAGCAGTGCACGACGGACGAGCAAGTCATGGTCTACTCGCTCATCGACGACTCCGGCGGCGACGGCATCTGGACGCAGACGCTCCAGAAGCGGCTCAACATGCACGACTCGGTCCTCAAGAACGCAATCAAGCAGCTCCAGGCAAAGGGCCTCATCGCGCCCTTCAAGAACGTCGAGCACCCCAACAAGAAGATGTACATCAAGGCCTCCATCCGGCCGAGCGACCGCGCCACGGGAGGGCCCTGGTACACCGATCAGGATCTCGACGAGGCCTTCATCGAGGACCTGCAGCGCGTCGTGTTTGACTTTATCAAGCGGCAGAGCACCTACCACAGCACGCACGGCGGCGCTTCGAGGGCGGCTTCTTCGAGTCAAGGCACCACCAGCAAAGCACCCAGCAAAGGCATCATCAAGGGCGGAGATGCGCCCAAGGGCAAGAAGCGCGACGCCTCCGAGATGGAAGCCAAGCCCATCGCCCCCACGAGCAATCCCTCCAAGCCAACTACAACAGCAACAGCCACAACAGCAGCAAACACATCCTCCTCAGCCGCAGCACCATCCTCCCTCTCCTCCTCCTCCCGCAGAGAACCGGCACTCCTCCCCTTACCAGCAGGCTACACGGCCTACCCCACCGTCCGCGACATCGCCCGCCTGCTGTCCTCGAGCGGCATCACCAACAACACCATCCTGTCCGAGGGCGACGTCAAGAAGCTCGTCGACGTCCTCGTCTGGGACAACCTCGTCGAGCCCGTCAAGGTCGCCGGCAGGGTCGGCTACCGCGTCTCCCGCATCGCCCGCCAGTCCGTCGAGAGCTGGGCCGGCCGCGACGACCCCACGGGCCGCGCCGGCGGGCCCGAGCTGTACGTCAGTCCCCTCACCGAGGCGCCCTGCGGCCGGTGTCCCGTCTTTGAGCTGTGCGAGGAGGGAGGCCCCGTCGGGCCGAGCAATTGCGAGTATTTCCAAAAGTGGCTGGGCAAGGAGGATATTTTCTAAAGAGACAAAAAAAAAAGAAAAAGAGAAAAAAGAAAAGGACGGAGGACTTTTCTAAATTGTACGACGATGTCGGATCTTGCATCATTTGGAGTTCGTCCTTTCTTCCCATCTGTCTGAATTGTACAAGGATTTCATGCACCCTTTGTGTTCATTGGGCGACTGTATATATATATCATCATCTGTTTCTACATACTCGGCAGGCGCATCACAGGGAGGCAGGCTCAGTATCACTCACAAGTTGTACGCAGAATCAACTCGGAATAGAGACAGTCTTGGTCTCACTGCTAAAACTACCAATCTTACTTGGTCAGGGCATCACATTCGCGAGTGTACAGGATGAGCTCTTGCGGGTTACTGGCACAAGCTTTATCGTGACCTTCCTTCTTGATGCAACAGATGTGTATTTTTTTTATATGCTTTGCAGCACCGTAAATGATTGGCTAAAGGATATGGCGAGGTACTTTTATAGTCTCTCTGGAGCGCTGAAGCCCCTTGTTTAAGCCGCCCACGATGGCTTCATGGACCCAAACTTGCCACCACACGGACATGCAGAGCATTCTGCCAACTTGCACAAGCTTACAGGACACCGCTGTCGACAATGGTGGGGCGGGGCTCGTACTTGACCTTGCCGTCATCACGGCCGGTGGCCTCGAGGGCCTGGACGACAGCCATGGACTCCTTGTCGGCAACCTCGCCGAAGACGACGTGGCGGCCGTTCAACCAGGAGGTGACGACGGTGGTGATGAAGAACTGGGAGCCGTTGCTGTGGACGAGGCGTTAGAGCAGTGCGCCAACAATGCATGCAGAGTCCCTTGAGCAGAGATGGATTAAGCGCTCCGACTTACGTGTTGGGGCCAGCGTTGGCCATGGACAGCAGACCGGGGCGGTCGTGCTTCAGCTGGAAGTTCTCATCGGCAAACTTCTCGCCGTAGATGGACTTGCCGCCAGTGCCCTAGAATTGGAGTCAATCATCGACGCCCTTGAACCGATGGCTATTGTGAGGGGCGCCCATACGTTACCGCGGGTGAAGTCACCACCCTGGAGCATGAAGTTGGGGATGATGCGGTGGAAAGAAGAGCCCTTGTAGCCGAAGCCCTTCTCGCCGGTGCAGAGAGCGCGGAAGTTCTCGGCGGTCTTGGGGACAACGTCGTCAAAGAGGTTGAAGTTGATGCGACCGGTTTGCTCTGTGGTGAGAGACGTGTTAATGCCAAGCTCTATCCGACAGCTACAGCTACAGGTACAGCCAGGTGCAGGTACATGGTGCATGAGGTGATGTTTTTGGAGAAGGGTAGGGGGGGACCACTGCGTCACCGCTTGTCCCCACCATCGGATTGACAGCGTGTAGTGGGAGCCAAAAGAGCAGAGCCGACGGGAAAGGAGAGCAAGGGGGGGGGGGGAGAGGAGAGAGAGGAGAGAGAGGAGAGGAAGAGAGGAAGAGAGAGGGCAAGAAGAGCTCGGTGTGAAGCTCGATCTCGGTCTTGCTTCGCCTTCAAAAGGCTGCTGCTGGGCGAATTGATGCGTTGTCGGACGGAATTGGAGCTGGACTCACCCTTGATCTCGTTGGTGGCGCGGCCGTCCTTGAAGACCGGGCCCTTCCAGGCGATGTCGAAGTAACTGGAAAGACGGTTGTGTTAGAGAAAGGAACCGAGTTGTGCGGTGGATGAAGCTGAGCCGAGCTGGACACAGCTGGTGAGGACAAGGCCAAACTTACACCTTGGTGTTGGGCATTTTGGCGGGCTGTGAATAGAATCGGGGAGTCGTAAAGGAGGTTGAGGCGGTAATGCGTTGAGAGAGAGAGAAAGTTCTTGAGGCCGGGGAGCAGAAGTTATGGCGGGGTAGGAGGGGTTGGAAGAAAGCTGATCTCATTTTGAACGTGACTGGAGGGGTAACGTTAGTAACGCGTGCTGGGCCAATCAGGGCGCCCGACGGTGGCAACAAGGGAGACGGTGGGGTGCGACGAGAGGAGCCGGTCACGTGAGCGGCCAGGGTACGAGCGAGTAGCGGACTCGTACACGTACGAGGTACCCGAGTACCTAGGTAGGTACTTCCAAGGGACGCGACAGCAGCAGCTTGACGTCGCCCAAGACCTCGGAGGTGCCTGGGAGAGCTCCCAGAGCTTCTGTGGCAAAAAAATGGAAGAAAAAAGAGAGGGACAGCAATTGCTTCTCCCTCCTTTTCCCCAGCGTTGAGTCGTGCAGCACCTGCCAGATCCCTCACAGCAGCCGCAACCAGCCGCAGCGGCGCTTTGGCAATGGCTCCATCTCCCCTCCGGCCCTCCAGCCAGCATCCCGCTCAACGGCCAACCGCTTCGCCGCCTTCCGATCGCCAGCGAGACGAGCTGACGTGAACTTGGCGTGCGGCCGAGAGCTGCAGGCTGGCTGTGGGCAGAGGCCCGCGCTGATTGGACGGCCGAGCCAGGGAGCCCTTCCAACGTCTTCGCGCGGGCGGAGCTGCTCCGCCTATCATTTGGCCCATGCCTTTGAGCAAAACTGGCTGTTTGGCAGTTTGCAAAACGATGGCAAACAGAGAGCAGGGACAAGGAAGAGGAAACAAAACCGGTTCGAGAAAAAGGCCGAGACGAGGCGGTGTCATTGCTGGGTGGTGGCAATCGGGGCTGCCGCTGCCTCTCCTGCTCCTGCTCCTGCTCCTGCTTCTGCTCCTGTGCCCTGGCCGTTTTGCCTCGACCTTGGCTTCAATCGACGGTGCTGCCTTTGCTGAGGTGTGCTGTGTTGACATTCCCATCTCACTCGCATAAATGGGTGGTGGCTCTGGGTGTTAAAGGACAGAGAGAAGCAGCAAGACTGAAGGAAATTGGTGCACCGTACCTTGGCGTCAGACAGAACTTTACAATAGGCAAGGCAGTTGATGACGATGACGATGGGTGATTCTACGCAGAAAAGGTCCAGCCAGAAGATGATGGGACAGCCAGCAGAGGAGTGAAAAAGTTTTGGGTGATGTCAGTCACTGAGCGCAAAGTACCGTTTTCTGGCCTGAAGTCTCAGGTTGCCACTTGGTGTTGTGTTAGTACTAGTATGTAGGTACCTGTGCCATTAATGTCGGTGAGCCGGGCATTTGGCAGAGCAGCTCCTGGATATGTACCCGTTATCGATCTGGATGATGCGCCCGTGAAAAACAAACAAAAAGACATCACATCAATGGCGACTGCTGAATTGCTTTAATACATACCGAGAGATTGCATACAAAGTACCAGTCTTTATTACTGTAGGCGGAGAGGAAATCCTTCTCCCGTATTGCCGTTGTTGTTGGCACCGCACGGTACAAATCTGAAGAATATGCACAGTCCGCCGTCCAGCCATTCTCTCTTCTCCCCAATCAGGCAACGCGCACCACGTGACTGTGGCGCCCTTTGCGGCCTAGCTCCAAATTAGTGTCCAAGTGTCCAGGTTCGGCGACAACGTGGAAAGTGGAAAGTGCCAGACAGCCAGAGTCTCGTCACCCGCTCTGGCATCTTGAAAGACTTCCCAACTGCTCTCCTTTCGACATCCTCTGCTTCGGTCTGCTACTCCTACGCGCTCTTCAAGATGGATTTCAACGACTTAAAGAACACCGTCTCGAACCTGACCTTGTACGACCTCAAGGCCGGGTTCCGGAAGGCGCAGAATGGTACGAGGCGTCCTCCGCTGGTCCCTGGCGCTGCTCATGGGAGAGGCTGATACTGACGCGGTTCGATGTGCCTTAGCCGTCATGAACTACACCGAGATGGAAGCAAAGGTACGCTCTCTTTGCTCGCGATGACAATTGCAATTCTAATTAGCGAGAGAACTCCTGCTGACCTCGAGCGCATCAGGTCCGAGAGGCGACAAACAACGAGCCCTGGGGAGCGTCATCCACCCTGATGCAGGAGATTGCCAACGGCACCTTCAACTAGTACGCACGCGTCTGCCCTCGGACTCGCAGGGTCCTGTGTCCTCTCTAATGCTCGTGCAGCCAGCAACTCAATGAGATCATGCCCATGATCTACCGCCGATTCACCGAAAAGTCCGCCGAGGAGTGGCGCCAAATCTACAAGGCCCTGCAGCTGCTCGAGTTCCTCATCAAGCACGGTTCGGAGCGCGTTATTGACGATGCGCGCGGCCACATTACGCTGCTCAAGATGCTGCGCCAGTTTCACTTCATCGACCAGAACGGAAAGGATCAGGGCATCAACGTTCGTAATCGTGCCAAGGAACTGGCGGAGCTCCTGGGCGACGTCGAGAGGATCCGCGCAGAACGCAAAAAGGCACGAGTCACCAAGAACAAGTACACGGGCGTTGAGGGCGGCATGACCTTTGGCGGCGGCTTCTCCAGCGGCAGTCGCTTCGGCGGCTTTGGCAACGAGTCCGGCTACGGCGGCAGTGGTGGTGGTGGTTCCGCTGAATACGGCGGCTACTCCGGCGGCGTGTATGGCGATGGCGGCGGCTTCGGTGGCCAGGCAAACGACTTCCGCGACACCCAGAACCGCTCCGAGAGATTCGAAGAGTACGACGAATTCGACGAGGGCGACCGGCCGGCCGCCAGCTCTCGCCCTGTAAGGACTTCTACCCCGAAGAAGGCGACAGCACCGCCTCCCAAGCCAAAGGAGCCCGAGGTAGACCTATTCTCATTTGACGAACCTGCCTCGACTGCTCCCGCGCCGTCGTCGAGCAGCTCTGGCTTAGCAGCCCTTGCCCCTACCAGCACTACCAACGACGATGACGATGAGTTTGACGACTTCCAATCGGCCGCCCCGGCACCGTCGGCGACAACGACGACAACGGCCGCGCCCATGTCGCCAACATCAGCCTTTTCGCAGCCTCTGTCGCCCACCTCACCCAACTACTCGAGCACCCAGTTTGCTGCCCCTAAGCCGCTGTCGGCCCCGCAGCAGGCCGGCATCAACCAGATGGTCAACCTCGCCTCCATCTCACCAGCCAGCAGCGCCAACCCGACGCCTACGGCCAGCTCTGCGTTTAGCGTGCCGATGCAGTCCGCCAAGCCTGCCGGCTACCAGCCTACGGGCCCCAACTACTTTGGCACCGTCCAAGCCCAGCCGACGGGGTCCTCAGTCTCGTCCCAGACCACCAGCGCCAGTCTGCAGCCTGCGAGCAAGTCCAACGGCAAAGCTGCCGCGGCCGGCGGAGACGCCTTTGGTGCTCTCTGGGGCAAGGCCAGCGCCGGCATCAAGAAGCCGAGCACGCCCACTGCCGGACCGGCTTTGGGCCAATTGGCCAAGGAGAAGAGCAGCGCTGGTATCTGGGGGGCTCCCGCGCCAGCCCCTGCGGCTCCACAAGGAGGTTCTGCCTCTGGCGATCTGCTTGGGTGATGATGAGACCACCAGTTTTTTGAGAGAGGTTGATGTCGTACAGGACAGGGGGTCGGGAACGGTCTAAAAATAATGAGCGTGGTGGCTGAAGGAAGGGAGGGGGGGGCAATTGTATGACCAAAAGTAGTATTTGAGACCATTGAATGCAAGCGACGAGGAAGCAGGCATCTTGTCATGTTGGGAATCTTTAGATAGGCGTTTGCGGCGCGTCATGTTGATTGAATTGGCAATACAAAAACGAGCTGAAGCAGCCAACCGGATCTCATCCCTCGGCAGTGACTTTTTGGTTCAAGGAAATAATACTCCGATTTAACACGAGATATATGCGGCCAGACATGCAGCCGCCCCTCTGAAACGAGGTCAGGAACAAGTCCACAGCTGAGCCTCACTCAGCATCATCCATGTAGCACCATGTTTTTTTCGCTGCTGCTGTGATGCCGGACAGGGTTTGAGCGAGTCTCTCGGGGCCAATCGTCGGGAAGATGGGGCGCGATGCTCGGGCTCGGCGCTTAAAATAATAACAGATGCGGCGGATCGGGAGAATGAGACAAGCCAAGGGATGCCTGGAGGGGGCAAGGATGATTATTTCGCGATTAGGGAAAACAGAAGAGAGAGAGGAGGGGAGAGAAAGATAGAAGGAAAGACAGAAAGACATTGTCTTGGGCGTGGAGAAGATCGGTGAGCTGGGACATGTGAAACGGTGAGCGCGGCTATTTTCAGAGGTGTTGTCGCTTGTGCGCGGCAAGAGAAACACGATGTCGATCTTGCTTTTTTTTTTTTGCGGATCAAAAGGGTGATCGATCTGAAGTAGGTATTAGGTACTAAGGTATTATGTGACAGAGGTTAGTATATATAAGAGTGCTGCTTTGGGGTCATGTTTCTGTCTCGACTTGTGTCTTATTCTCTCCATCTCAAAGCATACGTTGTTTCCCAATTTCCTTTGTGGTTTCCTTGAGTATCATTTCCTTGTGTTTGTTCCTGTTCATTTTCCTTGTCTCTGTCGGTATTTCACGATATATATCCATCAGACTCGCGTCTTACACCAACTTTCGACATCCTTCTCTTTGGCACTTCATATATACAACCTCACAGGTGCACCTCCCACAAGCCCAACAGACTCTTCTCTTTTATTTTTATTTTCCCGTCTCCTTCTCCTTGTTTTACTTTCCCAATACATCTTCAGTCAGTTCGACCCAAGTGTCGAACACAAACACCGCCAAAATTCCACCCTCACGCCTCCCTTCTCCGATTCCCACCTACTCGAGCCGCCTCCCCCTCAAAACAATAAACGCCACTCGTCCCAGACTCTCCCTCAGAATATCGTTCCCTCCTCCTCCTCCTCATTCTTCATCTTCATCGTCCTCCAGAGATACAATGGGCCATCTGCCGGGATTCGGCATCCTGGGCGCCGTCTTCATGGCCCTGAGGCTCCTCCAGATTGTGTCTCTTGTTTCCGTCATCGGTCTCACGGGCAGTCTTGTCAAGGACATGGTGGAAGAAAAAGTAGCTGTTGCATCTGCGATTGTCGGCACGCTGGTCGTTGTAAGTCCCCTTTTCTTGCTCAATATATGTCTGTAAAAGCGTACAAGTTGTTTGAGAGACTGACCAAGATTCAACAAGGCCTGCATAGCAACGGCATACACCCTCACCAGCTCCATCCTCTTCTCCCAGCATCTCCTCCCTCTCCTCATCGCCACCGCAGCAGATGCCACATTCCTCATCGCCTTCATCATCGCGTCCTGCATCATCGGCAAGCCCGTGCACAATCTCACCTGCAAGACGCTCCCCAACCACGGCAACGCAGGAACATTCATGTCCTCCCTCTTCACCACCACCACCCCATCATCATCATCCTCCAGCATCACCACCATGATCGACCCCAGCAAAGCAGCCTGCCACACAATCAAAGCAACATGGGGCATCTGCATCGCCAGCACAATCCTCTTCTTCGCATCCGCCACCATTGCAATCTCCCTCTGGAACACCCTCAAGCGCCGCCGCGCGGACCGTCCCCGCAAGACCATCGACTGCGAATGAGGGTACGCCTGCCGCGATGGCTTACGGGGGGAAACTACTACTGCTGCGTCTGCCGTGCCGCCTCGTGATGGTGGTGATGGCCTGCGAAAGGGCCGGAGCCTGGGGACGTTGGCCATGGCGACGGCGCAGCACCGGCGGGATGCGAGGTCGCTGTATGATGATGACGACGACGATGAGGACAGCGATGACGGGGATTTCGATGAGCATCTTGTCCCTGCTGTCCATCGTCTGCTTAGCGACCGGCATCCGTACTTTCCCCCGCCACCTGCGGCAGCGAAGAGGATGAAGAGGAGGACGAGGCGTCCGGTGGAGGAGATGCCGCCGCTGCCTCCTTTGCCGGCCTTTTTGACTCGATAATTAGAGGTAAAAGGTGATCGAAGGAAGAAGAATGGAAAGAAAGATCACCCACATAAATACATGTATAATGGTTGGAAAGGGAGGGCTTGGTAAACAGAACACACAGGATGTGGATTAGACTCAGACTTGTCTTTTGAAAGAGGCATTTGCCCCTTGGAACAATCGCTAACAGGGGCAAACGTAAAACACTCATGCACGTGTGTGCAGAACATCAGCAAAGTAATGGTCATCGAAAACGAATTAGAATATACAAATCAGGCATTGAGATATACAAAGGACATGGCACATGCAAAATAGAGAAACAATGGACCAGAGAAAACCCTAGGTATTAATTAGTTGAGTAAACCAGACAAGGACAATGGCAACACCAGGAAAGGGTATCATAACAACACAACTCCATGCCCCAGGATATTCATGCACTGCGCCACGTCCCAGCTCTCGTCTAGGGGTCGCCGCGCCCACACCCGCTCCATAATGTTCATGGCCTCCCTCAGCGACCCAAACGGTTGCAGCCCGCCGAGTCTGGCCACGATGGTTTTGTACTTCACCTCATCTTCGGGAGGAGCCAAGCAGCCGGCGACGCATAGCGGCCAGGCCAGCGCCCCCAGACAGGTGCCGCTAGGAAGGTTCAGGAGCAGGTGGGTGGTTTTGGACACGGCGCTGCTGATTTCCGGACACGACGGCTGCCAGCCCGTGAGGACCGTGTTGAGGTAGATCAGGGCCGCGTAGAGCCAGATGGTGTTGTGCATCGCATACGACGGCTGCTCGCTCAGGACCGGCACGGAGATGACGGTGGCAACCGTATCCGGCCGTGGGTCCGTGTTCTGGATGGCCATGATGCCCCCCTTGATGGCGTCCATCAGTATCGTGCCCCGCGACAGGAGCTCGTTGATGGACAAGGAGCCGGCCAGGCTCTGGGACTTTTTCCATGCGTGCAGAGACGCAATGTCGCCAATTACCTGGAGGACCCAGTTGTGCAGCCCGCGGAACTCCTCCATTCGCAGAGGTCCCTCGCCCATGGTGCAGGGGCTCCACTGGGTTGTGTTGCAGGAGGGCATGATGGTGTTTTGGTAGCTGTACAGCCGAGGAGGGCACGCAAGCGTGACGCTCGACAGCACGTCCGTGTAGAGCAGGTTGGCCGTGAAGAACCTGCAGGCGGCCTGGCTCGTGCTCCAGGGCCGCTTCATGCCCATCTCGGGCGGCGGCCAGCGCTTGTTGACGAGGCCGTAGAGCATCTCCTCCCAGCCCTCGGGGTCGGGCAGGATCTGCCGGAACAGGGCGATGGCGGCGTCGAGATGCAGCTTCCAGTTCTCGCGGTTGCCCATAGCGACCTCGAAGATGAGCAGCTGGATGATGCTCTCCATGACGACGAGGCCGTCGCGCGGGTTCATCTTGCGGCTGTGCAGCGAGCTGACCTCGCGCTGCAGCTCGCGCAGGCCCAGCTCCATCTGCGTCTGCAGATTCTGGACCATCTTGGCCATGCACTCATTGTGCTCGGGCTCGCCGTTGTTGAGAATCAAGGCAAAGTAGTAAGAGGCCAGGGAGACGGTGATGTGGTAGAGCGACTTATTGTTGGACTGGAGCGCGTCCATGACCCAGCCGCGGCCGCCGACGAGGATGTGCGGGCGGTAATGGGGGAACAGGTGCGGGAAGACGTAGTCCAGGTACATGCAGGTGTAGTGGATGTCGGCGGAACGGTCCATCTCGGCCTGCTCGTCGACGCCGCCGCCGCCGCCAAACGCCTGGCTGTGCCAAGGAACCTCGGGGGGCGACGTGCCGGCGGTGCTACCCGAGACGTGGCTGTTGGGCGATTCTTTGGTGGACGGCGCCGACGTCGCGTCGTAGGCGTGCCCTCGCTCGCGATCACGATCACGATCTCGATCACGATCCCGATGCCGGCCTCCGTCCCCATCCCGGTTGTGGTCGCGGTCCCGATCCACGTCCGCCCCGGGACCGTCGTCGCTCAGGCTGACCTTGCTCGTGCCCGTCTCCAGCAGCTCGAGGTACTTGCGGTCCCGCCGCCGGCTGGCCTGCTTCTTGACCTGCGCCTTGACGTGCTCGGCCATCTCCTTCTGCTTGGGCCCGCCGTCCATCCAGTCGGGCTTGACGTCGCCATAGTGGCATGTGATCTCCAGCGCGGCGCATCCCGAGCACTCCGGACGGCGCTCGTCGCACTTCTTACGCCTCAGCCTGCAGGTGTAGCAGCCGGACTGCGACCGCACCTTGGAGGAGGACAGGATATGCCGGAGGGAGGGCATGGCCTCTTTTATGTTGTTGACCCCCTTGGGAGAGACGAGGAACTCGGGACGCGGCCCCCCGTTGCTGGACTGTAGGTTCTCACGGGATGCTCGTGCGACTGGCCGCCCGCCGGCTCAGGTGAGGCACGACTTGCTGCTGCGCGTTACGTTGTTAATAAGGTATATAGTGAAGCAGGGAAGTACTGTAATGAATATTCGATATTGATACACAGATGGTGGTGGTTGAGTGAAGTTGCATGTTTACTAATGCATCAGCACGCTGGATGACACGGGCTGGTGCTAGGCGGTGGTGCCAATCTGCTGCAGGGGCAGGCCAGCTAGTAGTACTACTATAACTACCTTACTGCAGGTAGTACCTGTAGTGCTAAATTGTCCGCTCTGATTAGTCAGTCCCGCTGACGGGTCTCGCTGGGGTAGTAATAAGGCTGAGGCGATCCGCACAGTGTCGATGCTGGGTGAAGTCTACTAGAGATGGATGATTACCCGGTACCTAGACGTGCTTTAACTCGTTGGTACTACAAGATATACCATATGTGTAGACCATCATGGGTGGGATGAGATTCGTCTATGCAATGCCCTAGCTCCTAGCATGGCGAGTGATCTGTCTCAACAGCAGACATACGGTTGAGGATGAGGCAAGCTTATGCCAACATGGAATTTCAGCATTTTGTAAAGGGATGGTACAGTAATGCCAAATACACTTGATATATTGTGCCCTAGCCGGACGATTCCACACTCATATCGCACCACTGGAAGGGTTTCTAGTCTGATGACATAGGGTCCCCTGATCCATGCCCACCTTGGTTGCCATTCCACTCAAGTATCTTCAGTCCCCTAGCCCAGATTCGCTACCTTCTTTCGCCAAGTCGATGCGAGGGAATGCAGCAGCCTGCGCCTAACCGCAGCAGACGGTAGCACAGCTCGCGGCACTCGTCTTGTCGTCCGAGCTACGCAACAGGTCAGCATACAAACGAGGCTCGGGGTGGTGTGACGTTTCCCACGTCTCCCGCGTGGCTTTTTCCCCCTTCTTACCCAGCGGTGAGCGGCTCCCAGTGGAAGACAAAGGAGCCAATGTAGGCGCCGATGAAGATGCAGATGATGAAGTAGCCGTTGTAGTACATGGCCAGCAGCATGACAATGTAGGCGACCGAGAACTGGGCCACGTGCAGCAGCGCGCGGAGGGCCTGCTGGAGCACGCTGGGACGAAAGGCCGGCACGGCACGAGGAGCTGCCTCCAGGCTGGTGACGGACTCGCCGCCGGCGGCGTCGGCAGCAGACTTGGCCGGCTTGGCCGCGACGGCGACGGGAGTCGAGGAGGCGTCTCGAAACCTTGCCACGTGCTGCTTGATCAGGAAGCGGTCGTATTCCTTGGACAGGCGACGGAGGAACTCGAGGGCGATGACGAGCAGGATGACGCCGATGCAGGAACCGGCGAACATGCCCTTGGAGGTGATTTGCCAGTGCTTGGAGATGAAGCAGGTGTTCATGACGTTCCAGTTCCAGAGCATCTGTGAGGGGGGGTTTTGGTTAGCTGGCCCTTGGGAACTGGTATCTGTGGTGGTTGGTTGGATGTTCAGGGGGGGGGGGGGGGGGGTTTCAATACCGAGATCTTGCAGAGTCCTCCCTTTCCCATCATGGCGCTCATGTCGTGGTCCATGCCGCCTCCAGTGGCAGCGGCAGCAGCAGCAGCCGTGGTGGCCGATGCCATGTCCATGGCCATGGTGGTGGTCATGCCCGAGCCCATGCCCATGCCCTTGTCCATATCCATCACGGCTGTTGCTGGAGGAGGCGAGCTGCGTATCGTTTGGGGATCGAGAGGAAGAGAACACAAGTTCGAGAAAAGAGAGAGAAGAACTTCTCTGTTTTGATGGAGAGACGAACGAAGAACAGCAGTGACGGCGTCCAATCTGCAAATTGTCAAACAAAAGGCAGAGCAGGTGCTGTTGCAAAGAGGTACTACTAGGAGGTGCTGCAGCTGGCACAAGGGGCGTGGTATTTATAGGGCCAGCGCATTGACCGCCTCTCGAGGAAGCACAGCATCAAATCATTTTGATTACTGCTGCTTGCCACCTGATGGACGACTTTTCAGGGCATGGAGGTACCAAAAGCGCTGGCGAGGGCCCTGGGCTGCCAGCAGCAACCCTTTGGGGGTCTCTTCAGGTTTGCTCTGGAGACTCGCTGTAATGTCCTCCATCCGTGCTATGGATCTATTCTACATCTATGGAATTAAAGCAGCGGGTGCCTACATTGACTCGAATCAAGGGCTACTGGGAGGAATTCAATCACAGACGGAGACATTTCTCTTGGCCATGGGCCAATGCGGCTGCGGGCGTTTGAGCAAGTTTTTCGAGAGAGAATCCAGCATTAGTGGCCTGATGGACGACAACAGCCAACTCGAACTTGGCGATAGTACACCCTTTTGTATCTAATACGCTCTGTGATGGCTTAGGTATGTTGTCTTTCTTCTTGTTCTAATGCTTGTTGATGTCAAAGCAGGTAGGTAATATCAGATCTCGAAGCTGTAACTTCTGACGCTACCTTACCTAGGTATTCATTCATACGAGCTCCTCCAAACTGAGCCGTGCCATCCAAAGAAGATGGCCACCATGAGCAACATCAAAAGGCATCAATGTGGCGAAATGCATCATATATTTCAGCTTTACGAGGTACAAATCAGTACCTTGGGAAGGGGAAGGAAAATCCCCAGCCAGAGGGTCTGACATACGAGACCAACTCTCGTCCCCAACGCCTCGTGTCACCCTCCATCTCGAAAAGAAAAAAAGAAAAAAAAAATTGTCAACGGGGCTCGACTGCCGAGACAAAATCCTCTGCCCCTGCTCTGTGTCTGCTCGTAAACAACCTCCAACTCCCCAGGATACCAGTCACCCTCCCAGGCTGGAAATAAAAAAATCCATTGCCCGCCAGACCTTCAAAAGCCCCAAGTCGAGAATCATCCGTTCTTTTTTTACTCCTGGCTGGACTTGGAACTCGAGCTGGAGCTGGACGAAGTCGAGCTCGACGAAGCCTTGGCCCGCTCCTCGGGAGACGCAGCAGCCTCTCCCTCTTCTTGTTCTTGTTGTTCCTCCTCCTGCTCCTCCTCCTCCTCCACAACAGGCGCATTCTCGGCCGGCGACACACCGTTCTGCTGTCGCGAAGAAGGAGGGACGTACACCGTCGGCTCGAGAATGACATGCTGCGAAGCCGCTGCCTCCGACAACGACGACGCGGACGCGGACGAGCTCGCGCGATCGGCCTCCTCGTTGGGCGTCATGGCCTCGACGATGGCGGGCATGTTCTGCTCGGTGGCCCCTGAGACTGCGACGGGGGCGGCCAGAGGCGGCGGCGTGGTGACGACGGGGTCGGGCAGCACGCCAATGTGTTGCGGGTCGTATTGCTCGGGCGGGATTCTGTGAGCACGCCGGGAGATGGTCAGCATCTAGAGGAACAGCGCAGGAAATCTCAGGTGAGTGTGGCAGCATCGAGGGACGAAGACGTACTGCGGAGGAGGCGTGGCCGCTCGTTCATGCTGGTCATGCTCGCGCCGAGACGCGGCGTTGGAAGCCTGGCTGGAAAAGCAGCAGCCCATCACGATAAGCGTCAGGTTGTTTTTATATAAAACTCAAGGGCGTTTTATCTTGGATGGTGATGGTGGTGATGGTGTTGAGGATGCAAGTTTCTTAACTTGAGGGGAAAAAAAAGGGGGGGAAGTGCGAGATTCGACGGGGGGGGATGAACTTGCTTTCTTCTTCGTTTTTGGTTTTCCTCTCGTTTTCATTTAATTTCAGACTTGAGAGGAAGATGAAGAAAAGTTGATTGAGTGATTGAGTGAGTGAGTGATTGACTGGGACGGCTCGGCAAAAGGTGGGCAAGCTGCTGGGCCAGGACAAACAACTGGCCACTTGTACCACTTGAACTGCTGGCTGGCAGCTGTCAGTCTTGTCTGGGGAGGCTGGAGAAACTGCCTAAGCTTGTGTCTATTTGTGCTCCGTCTGTTCCGCGTCTTGTTGCTATTCCATTCCATGTATTGAGTGTAGGTATCTTTTCTTCGTTCTGATTCAGGGTGCACTTGAGCCACCGCAGACAATGGCGGCGCTGAAGGCTGGTATTGTTGCACCTGGTGAGGTGAATGAGTGGTCAAGCTTTGCTTGAATCTGTGTCTGCGGTCATGAGACCTTGTATTCATGGCTAATTCACTTTCATTATGCTGTCAACTGTCGCTAATTTGGTCTTGACAATAGTTGAATGCGCCAGTTGTTGAAAATGGCCATTCTCACTGAATAAAGGGGGGGCGTGTTGAAGATTGTTGCAACGACCCAAATGATACCCCTGAATTCGTTGTCCTGGTCAGCTACATAGCTCTCCTCAAAGCCACATGCTCACTCATTGTAGAGACCTGCCTGAAAAGCCAATCTTCTCCATCGCTTGTATGCCCCCAGACCACACGGTCCAAGCATTCATCGCCTCACCAACTCTGGCGAACGTTGAGCATCCTGCTCCTCGTCATCTTCATGGAGAGACGAAACATCGTCATGACCCCCGACACCGCCTTGGTCATCTCCATCGCGCGTCTCGTCCAGCCAAAACCCAATCTGGTTCTGGGCGTCTTCGTCGACGCCCTCGTCTCCGCCGTCAGAGTCTTTGACACACGAAACATCATCAGCCGTCATCCAATTCCGTCTTCTTCCCGTGGTGACTGAGGAGGAATGTTTTCTTACCGTGACTTGAGTGTCTCCTGCTGTGCTGACTCCGATGGCTCTTTTGCTGCTTCTTATCACGACTGGACCTGCTCTTGCTCTTCCCTTTGCCTTTGCTTCTCTTCCCATTCGGCTTCTTCCTTGTGCTCTCCTCCCTCAGCACAAGGCCATACCGCTCACCCCCGCCATGTCTCCCACTCCGTGTTGAAGGCCCATCCACAGCCCGTGAGAAACTACCTCGATCGTGGCCATGAGACTGGCCAGCTCGGCGTCGGATGAGAACCTGTTCGTTGTGCTGCACGCTGTAGTAGTACTCGTATGCGACAGGTGCGCGTCGGGGCTCTTTGGGACTGCTCAACAGCTTAATGATTGGTATTTCTCATTTGCTTGCCTCCACCACCGGTAATTCAAAGAAGAAAAGAAAAAGGCAAGACAAAAAAGAGATCTGTGCTTAGTCCATTTGACTGACTGGAAATAAAGGGATACATACGATCGGGAGTGGTGGCGTCGCCGGGAGGGCGGGACAGGTCCGGAGAAGCACGAGCCCATTTCGCTGCGTCGATGAAGCAGGGATATCGCTGTTATTTCTCTCGAAACAAGATGGAGTATGCTCTGGAGTAATCACCAAGAACACTATGAGGGATCATGGAAGGAAAACTCCCTTTGGGAGGAAAGAAGAGTTACTATATACACCTATCTATCGCTCATGTTTCTTGGGCGAGTGTGACAGCTACTCAGAGCAAGATCCGCCAAACGGCGAGGCTCTTGATCACGACGGTGTCTCTCCCGTACTTCATCTCGTCTGCCTGTCTTTACCGGAGAGGCTTGGCTCTCTGTGCTCTAAACTATATGAATAACGGTGAAGCAGTGTATCCGATGGGAACAAACGGGCAGAGGCCGAGTGCAGCGTCATCATGTCTTGATGCTGGCATAGTCACTTGTTCAAGGCTTGTCCAGATTCTAAGTGGCTCCTCACAAGGACTGAGGACTGACAGAGTGCCGAAAAAGCTGTAGTGAAAGCTCCAATCGGAGGGAGATGGCATACAGCTATCACTTATTTATGTACCATCTTATGATAGAGTTCATCAAGGGTCAAGTTTCTCCTCTAGCAACGACATCTCAAGGGGCACGGAAGCTCCGTCAATGTAGACGACAATCCATCGTATCATTCTGCCTCAATCATGCATCAACTGATACCTGAGATCAAAGACGAATAAGAATGGGAAGGGCCGCAGTTCAACCCAACCGCCTTACAGATATCTCAGAGAGAACCAAACGTGAACAACGCGCACTGATGAATGACAGCAAAAGTTATATTCCATGTGGCTGTAAATCCCGATAGAGCCTCCTGTCTAAAGAGCACACATGCATGCTAGATGCCGCAAAGAACTTTCTATGAGTCTGCCCCCTAGCCTACCAACGCCAAACGGTAGTCAACAAGACAAGTGAATTCAACGAAAAGGGGGGGGCAGGGAGAGAACCAAGCAGATATCAACGCAAAGATACGGGTTAACCCCCCCTCACTTGGCAACATATAATAACCACGCCCAGAAAATGCCACGCAAAACAAATAAATAAATAGAGAAACCAACAATGAGGCTAGGCAAACGCTCCCACAGCCGCCATGAGCGCCGCGCCGGCCACGACGGAAAAGTAGGCCTGGACGCGCCTCTTGCCCTTCAAGACGCGATAGCTCTTCTCCGTCAGAAAGTCCTCGGCCAGCAGCTGCACCAGCCCCGCGTAGAGCAGCAGGCCCGACGAGATGGCGTTGGTGGTGCCCACGACGACGAGCCCCGTGGCGCTGCTGGGATCCCACTTGCGCTGCAGGACGAGGCCAATGGCCTGGCCGATGGGCGTGGTGGTGCCGTAGGCCAGCACCATGAGCCAGGGGCGGACGGAGCCCCTGGGGAACTGGATCGCGGCGATGCGGCTGCCCAGCGCCATGCCCTCAAACGACTGGTGGAAGCTGATGGCGACGAGGAAGACGACAAAGGCCGGGCCCGTCGCCACAGAGATGGCCATTCCTATGAAGACGCTGTGGAACAGGATGCCCGCCTCCAGCAGCAGACACTGCAGCATCCGCCGCTTCTGCTCCTCCGGGGACTGCACTTGATTGCCGTCGGGAGCCTCGCCGCCGCCTCCTCCTCTTCCCCCCCTGCCTCCTCTAGCGTTGGTCTTAACACGGGAAAGCGAAGAGTATGCGCCGTTCTGAGCGCTTCCGCCGGCAGAGACGGGATCGAGCTCCGCCAGGTCCAAGTCGAGATCCGAGTCTCGGTCATCATCATGGTCGTCGTCGTCGTCATCATCGTCCGCAGACCGTCGCCGCGGCATCGCCGGGCTCGACCCAGGCAAGGGCGAGACGCCGGCCATGAGCCCCTCTGACGCCTCCAGGTTGTCGAGCGAGATGTCGGCCGGCCGTCGCCCCGTCACATGCCCACGCCTGCCCGCCATGCCGTTGGCGACCGTCGGCAGCTCCCGCGCATCGTGGTCGACGTCGTCCTGCTCATCCTCATCCCAGAAGTCGTGCGCGTGCGAGTGCGAGTGGCCCGCGCCCCGAGCGGTCAGGTAGGACTCGACGCCCACGACGACGATGGCGGAGATCATGGCGATGAGGCCTGGGAAGGGCGTGTATCCCTTGCTGAAGAAGTACGGCAGACACGGGTCGGTCAGCGACGAGAAGGCGGTCGGCAGCAGGTGCACAAAGGCCGTGGCCAGGAGGACGCCGGTGCCAATGTGCTGGCAGTAGAAGACAATGTTCTTTTGGCGATGCCCTGTCGTCGCTCGTCGGGAGAGCAGGGGGAAGCCGCATGCTATGCGCGGGATCCTCTGGTCAGCTACACCCGTCACCACCACCCACCCAGCATCTCACCTGTTTTTTTGTGAGGAAGATATCGACGTACCGAGGGTGCTCAGAACGAGAATCAGGAGCAGCGCAAAGATGTGCGCCGCGGTGTCGTACCATCCCGAGTTGTGCCCGCCGCACTGAGGCCGTTCGCCCTCGTCCTGCCGCCTCTGGAGCTCGGCGCGGAGCAGGTGGGAAGGAATTGACGTCCAGGCATCTGTCATAAAAACGCAAGCATTCGCATCAGCCTCCCTCCTACAGCGCGCAAGTCTCGACAAGCGCCACTAGAAGAGCTCTCCCCCTTACCTCTGGCCATCACCTCGTCGACGCCATCCATATCGCGCATCTCGCTTGACCGTGGCAGCAGTCTGGCCCGCTGGGCATTGGCCAACCAAAGAATGGGCCTGTTGATGCCCTCAGTTGGGAATTGGAGTCGTGGCTCTCGGAACAAGCTGCCGGTGGTTCTGCGGCAGTTCACTTTCACCGGCGCATCCAAATCACATGGAAGCAAAGCAAGCTGGCTTCAAGAGAGGTTGCAGCATAGGTACAGTAAGGTATGTAGGTAGTACTCAAGCTAAACCAGGGTCCAGTGTCCAGTGGTTGAAACACCCGTTGGCGCGTAATCCTCGGCTGAGGCTGTGTTCACTGTCCGGCCACATAATACGCGTGTTTCCAGACTCGAGGCCGTGAAGCTCCGAGAACCTTGAGGGACTCAACGGTTTATTGTCTGGTCCTGTGGTCTGTGCTGTTTCACAAGCAAAGTCCCAGCTCTAAAAATAAAACAGGGGTCTGGTTCTGTCCGTGCTGTTCTGGCCTTTACATAATACTCCGTACATACCTCTAGCCTCATGTTACCTTTCCCGGTAGTTCTATGTACTAGCAAGCAGCGTTTCGCCCATGTGATTACGGGTTAGAATCTCCAAAAAGCTTCATTTCTTTGCATTAGACTGGCGAATCCTTCGCACGGCATCGTGGAACCCTCGAGAATTCTCGTCGAAATGGTGCCATTGCCCATGCCAGGACGAACGCCTACGTCATGATCCTGGAACACATATTATTAATTATTAATATGGAGAGCCTCTCTTTCCGAGCCAAGTCCGTATCGATATCAGGATATAAATTGGTGCAGTGAGAGCAGAGACTCTGCAGCAGCAGCAGCAGCAGCATCACCAGCTTTGTTCCCTGTGCTTCATTGATACCCATCCCCCTTCCATATCAGTTTGAAAGCGTCGTCAAACTAAATCTCATCACCAAAAAACCTACCGCCATCATGTCCGTCGCCATCTTCCCCGCCTCAGGAGGCCTCGGCACCAGCACTTACACCCACCTCCTCAACTCCAAAGCCATCCCGGCCTCCGAAATCGTCCTCATCAGCCGCTTCCCCGACAAGACCCCAAAAGTCTTCCAGGACCAGGGCGTCCACCTCCGCCAGGCCACCTTTGAGGACCCCCCCGCCGCCCTCGAGGCCGCCTTCAAGGGCGTCAAGACGCTCTTCCTCATCTCCTACCCGAGCCACAACCGCGGCTACCGCACGCCCCTGCAGCTCGCCGCCCTCGACGCCGCCCACCGCGCCGGCGTCAAGCACGTCTTCTACTCCTCCCTCGCCTTCGCCCTGCCCGAAAACGACACCACAAAGGCAGAGGTCATGGGCACCCACCTCGACACCGAGGCCCACCTGCGCAAGATCGCCGCCCAGGACCCGAGCTTCACGTGGACCTCGGTCAGGGAGGGCCTCTACAGCGAGTCCACCCCCATCTACACCGCCTTCATCGACCTCAAGGACCCCAGCAGCACCGAGATCCGCATCCCCCACGACGGCTCCGGCCCGGGCATCAGCTGGGCCAAGCGCGACGAGCTCGGCGAGGCCACCGCCACCCTCATCGCCCAGTACTTCAAGGACCCGGCCGCCTTCCCCTGGACGAACAAGATTGTCCTCCTCACCGGGCCTCGCGAGTGGTCCCTCGCCGAGACCGCCAAGCTGCTCTCTGAAATCGCCGGCAGGGACCTCACCATTCGCCAGGTCTCCGTCGACGAGTACGTTAACCAGCCGCAGGTCCTCCAGCACTTTGGCTCCGCCGACCTCGCTCGGACCTGGGCGACCGCCTGGGAGGCCATCCGCGAGGGCGAAACGGCACTTGTGTCGCCTACCTTGGAGCAGCTGCTGGGCCGTCGCCCTGAAGAGTTTGACGTGACTGTCAAGAACCAATATGCCTCGCTTCTTGCTAAATGAAAGCAGATTTAAATAAATTATACATGACAACCCTTCACATAAAGTGCATTAATAGCTCCAGAAGTACCTAATAAACCCTCAATATAATAATATCATTATAACCTCTCATACCTTCTTGCATCTGTCATCATCATTCTCAGTGAGATGAGGTATATGGTCAAGACCTACTACCTTGGGGACCACCAATAGTGCGTTGCTACCGTGGTGTATGTGAGATGTTGGTTGATTCCCAGGGGCATCACGGAAATGATAAAGGGTCAAGTCTGAGAGAAAGGAGATATATTGGGATGCTACTGGGCAGCCATTCCCATCATGTACAACCTAGGTACTGTGGTAGACTCTACCGACTCTCGAGATGTCCATGCCATATGTAAATCTGTCATGCATCTCAATCATCATGTACACCCAACCTGCATTGGACTCTAGTAGAAACAAAAAAACAAGACCCTGACCCTCCCAAACTCCTGGAAACAGTTCCAAAGGCACACGATAAAAACCAACAAGCAGTTAGACAGACTATCAGTCGTGAAAAAGGGGGCAACGCGGCCGCATCACAGTCAAAGCTAAAAGGGTATCAAATCATCACCACCTCTCCTGACTTACTCCAGTCATGTCGTGCGTCAAACTCAGCCAGTACCGGCTGCGCAAGAATACCTCCCATCCCCGTTCCATTTCGAAACGCTAACCGTTTTTTTCCATCATTCTGGCCGGATTCATCAAGACGAAGAGTATAAGCATATATCAACCAGGTTCAGTCTCGTGTGTTTCCACAAACTCGCTTGTAAGAGCCGCTGTTCAGGAAGAGCAAAGGAAGGGGGAAAGACGAGCAGAGCTGTCGGCCGTCTAGTAAGCCGTGGTGGTGGAGCCTTCACTAGTCGCAACGGCTACCAGCGCTTCGAGCCGTTTGAGCGAGTCGGGGTTGCTCGGACGATCTTGCTGAAGGGGCTGTTGCTGTTGCTGATGCTGTTGTTGTTGTTGTTGCATCTGCTGCTGATGCAACTGCTGTTGCTGGTGATACTGGGGATGTGGCTGCTGCTGCTGCTGCTGCTGCTGTCGATGGTCCTGAGGCTCTCGTGCTGGGAACCCAGCAAAGCCGGTGAAGTTGGGATGCACCATTCGCTCAACAAGCTGGTGCCGCGGGTCCTGAGATGCCTGATGGCCGCCTCCATGAGCAGCTGGATACCAGCCGTGACCCCTTGGCTCCCTAGCCAGGGTGGGAGCAGACATGGTATGCTGATGGAAGGATCGACTGGGGGCGGCTGAAGAGGGGACCATATGGCTCGGCCTGGGCTGCTCTTGAAATCGGACAACTGGTGGGTTCGGGCGTGCCTGTTCCACGTTTTGAACCGCCTTGTGGGCTTCGGATGCCCACATGCCGGCGCTATCGCGGGGAGGGGTCTTGGGTCCTATATCAAGACGGCCCAATCCGCGCTGCAGGCTGACGTCGTACATGTTGAGGTTTCGCCTCTCGTCACCTGGTATGGCCTCCATCATCGGCGGTCGAGGACCAAGTTCAGGGTCGACAGCCATGGGAGACGGCTTGCGCCTCGGCGGCGTGGTAGAGCGCGGAAGAGGATCAAAGGACTCAATACCGGGAAGGCGAAGGTTGGCTGGAGGTCCGGCCGGGTTCGCAATAGGGGGAGGGGGGTTAATCCGCGTGGACTGGCTGAGGACAGCGTTCAGCTGGTTACGGCTGTCAGGGTGCCAGGTTCGCCGCCGCCACGCCTCCTCGCCGGTGCTGGCAATCGACTCTCGACGGGCTGAGAACGCAGAAGGCGCACCAGACGTCGGTGACGCAACAATATTCGCGCCTTGGGGTACAAAGGCCCCGGCGTTGGAGCTGTTCATGAACGGCAGCCCAACGGGCGAGCGGCCTGCGGGCTGACCCGGGGGTATCTGGGGAAACTGGAACGGGCTGCTGCCTGACGGAACGCTCAGCCGACGACCGGGCGTCCTAGAGCCCGCGACGTACATGCTATGGGACCGCGAGTGTGTAGCCACCGGGGACGTCACGCTTGCGCTCCATCGCGGGCTGCTCTGGGCCGTCGAGAAGGTGGCAGAGGTTGGCGTGCTGTATTCACCGGGGCTCTTGGGCCGGTAGGAAAAGGTGCTGTCCGTGCTACTGCGGTACGACTCGATGGACATCCTGGAGCGGGGATCGGCCGCCATGACGAGCGGGGCTGGTCGTCGACGAGCATCATTCTGCGGGCTGTAGGCCGAGGCCACGGAGGCGATGCTGGAAATGCTCGAAGTCGAGAGGGATTTCGAATGTCCACGGACAGGTCCGCCGGCGCTGCCGCCAGTAGACGCCCTCGCCCTATTGCCGGCTTGACGGACTCTGTCAGTCCTTATCTGACGCTGGAACCTGGACCCGGTAGCCGCTAGAGAATCGATGGGGATGTCTTCGTTGACATGGACCGTCTGGGCATGTTGCCTTAGGTTGTCCAGCCTCGAGAACCGCCTCGAGCAGTGGCACTGGAAAGGTCGCTCTCCGGTGTGTTTCCTAGCATCTTGTTAGCACACAAGACTTGAGGCTTGACGAAGAGGAAGAAGAAAAGAAGAGAGGCGAGATAGATATCCGTCGGCTTACCGTATGTGCCTAGCCAGATGCTCACTTCGCGTGAAGCTGAGGTTACATGGCGGATAGTCGGTGCAGAAGAAGCGCTGGGACTTCTTTTTCTTGCTGGATCTTGTGCCGTCGGCGTTTACGCTCTCGTCGTCGGAGCCGGCGCCATCATCGCCTGCGCCGCCTTCTCCATCCGACTCGTCCATGTCGACGTCGAGCGAGCTTCTGTTGGGCGACTTGGAGTGATGGGAGCCGTCATGGTGCAGTGCGCTCTCGGGAGGGTCAGGAGCGGGCGGAGCTGGAGGGAACGAGCTCGGCGGCAGAGGCCTCTTGCTGGCCATGTTGATGCTGCTGAAGGTGGCTCGCGTCGGCGTCTTTCCGTCGTCCGACGAGCCGGCGGGCTGGAGCTGCTGGGGCTGCGGCGCGGTGCTGGGGCGAGGAGTCGTACTTCTGGGAGCCATCATGTCCTGCCTGGAGAGATCTGCCGCCATGGGAGTGTTGACGGGGCGAAAGGCAGCCGCCATGTTGGGCGCAGCGAGGCGACCAGGCAGTAACGATGGGCTACGGTGACGGTGACGGTGACGGCGATGGCGATGCAAGAAGAGTGATGGCGAGCGTCGGCGGGTTCGCCGGTTCGCAGTCCGTCGGCAGTGTCGTGCAAGGTCGGAAGAGGAGGAGGTTTGCGAGAGAGGTGATGCAGCACAGGCCGATTACGCAAGAGAGCAGGGTAAAACAGGGTGGCACTTGTCGACCTCTTGCGGGCACCACCCAGCGAGCAAGGCTGCGTAAGTACGGCCACAGTCAGGTCAGGCACGTCTTTCCGATGGTGGAAGAGACCGCCGGAGCCCGCACGATGATGGGGGGGCCGGCAGCTCGAAGAGCTTGAGAGTCCTCTTTCGTGTCTGAAGAACAGAGCAGAGCAGAGCAGCAGAGCAGCAGAAGGAAGGCCGGCACAGAGATTCCGTGATGCTTCGATGTCCGTGTTCCGCGTCCGCTGGGGAACCGAGCTGGGGAGCTGATGTTGGAGATGGTGAGCCCAGGCAACGGGCAAGAAGGCTGAAGTAGGGCCGAGGGGGGGAGGGGAAGGGAAAAAAAAGGTGGTGGGGGAAGTGTTTGAGGTCAGCAAGGGCGGAGGAGGCGAAAATCAGGAAGGACAAGGGGTGTGTGTGTGTGTGTGTGTGTGTAGGTGTGTGTGTGTGAACTCGGCCGCCCGAAACTTTGAAGCTTGTGCTGGGTAACTTTCTCGGAGGTAGGTAGCTGGAGCAGGTAATAAAGAGAGAAGAGTGAGAAAAGAAAAAAAAAAAGAAAGAAAGAAAAAACGACAGACTGCTACTCGTAAACGCTCGAGGCGGATGGCGGCGTTCGTGGTTGGGCTTCGGGTCGAGGCTTCTGTCTGTCTGTCTGCTGTCGTCAACAACTGCATGGGAGAGGATCATAGAATGGAACGATGACCCAATCTGCCAGAAAAGCTGCTGCCCGCTAATGGATGGAGGCACTGTTGGTGGCTGCGTGAGAACTGGGGAATGGCGCCCCTCACCAGCCTGCCGCGAAGCTGCTTCTGCTCGCTGCGTTCCAGGTACCGGCCGGCGAGCCCAGGGCGAGTACCTGAGCCGACCTGGAGCTGTGCTAGAGTAGAGGCCGCTGGGCTGGTTGCTGACCGGAGGTGGCAGCGAGCTGGTCGGCTGGTGGTGGTGGTGGCCGTGGTGGCCTAGCGGTAAGTCCGCTCGGGTCGAGTACTGGGTACCTGGCCGGCAAGGGCTGGGTACCTGACCTGGAGACAGTGGAGGATGCCTGCAGTGATTCTGCCGCTAGCCGACGGCGTCAAACCCCCGGTCCAGTGCGTGTTCTGCGAAGAGCGCTTGAGGTCTGGTGCTTGTTCCTGCTCTGGTGCGCTGGTTCTTGATCTGAGAGGCGTTTTCGCTGCTTGCGGCCAAGAAGCAGATTCAAGTTGTGCCTTGGATGCTGCTCGGATAGACACGGCGGATGGCCAATCTGATCCTGTCGCTTGGATCGGTCCTCAGCTCTGCATCTAGGTAGATAAGGTACCTCACAGTATAGCCCAAAGCGCTGGGAGAATGCACCTCAACTCCGCTAGCAACAACGGCGGCCAGTAACCAGAATAGCCTCCCGACGTCCTCTCTCTACTGCCGTGCGATTGGACAATCGCCAGGACCAGAATTGGAGACGGGAGAAGGTATTGATGTTTTAGCGGACAAGCTGAGCAGAGCAGCGAACGAGACCGACAGGGGGGGGTTGGTGAAAGCCGCCCGGACCCTGCGATCGGTGACACAGCGATGCGTGCCTGGTGGGCTAGCGGCTGGTTGACGACGTCGGTGCCTCTTTACCTGACACTCTGCCCGGTCATTCCAGGCTCTTGTCTGGCCGAGAGGGACGGAGCACCAGGGGAGGATTTGCAGACTAAGTATGTATATGATGGAGGAGGCTGGCATGCTCCTCCACGGAGAAAGGGTCCAAGAGACAGACATCGCGATCCTCGGTGGAGGCCGGATTCGGATTCGCGTGGCAGGGCATAGTAGCATAGCATAGCATGACAGGGCAGGGCAGGGCAGGGCGCCAAACACGCTCGTCATGATTCACATTTTCGAAGCGAAGTCCAGCTGGTGACCTTGAAGAGCGGCGATGTCGCTTGGGGCATTATTGATAAATATTGAAACAATATATTTGGTGATATCTGGGTCTTGTCGCAGATATCGGGGGCGAGTGAGCCATCAACTACATTCAAGGCATAGTATATCTTCCCTTCCATGCGATAGGACGAAGTTCCTCTTAGCAGTCCATGGGTACGGTAGCTAACATGAGGCTCAACAGCCGTCTGATATTTCAATTACAGCAGTACATATTACAGGAACATTCGGGCTGCATTCCTATCAGACCTGCCTGACCTTGAAGAGCGGCTGAGCGCTACCTACATGTACCTATCTAAGCAATGGATGTCCATCCCTGATGCGCCCCAGGTAGCGTGTACCTGTCACTACTGTACCTCCGGCACCCGCAACAGGCCAAGGCACCACGCCATTCTCCAGGTCAGAAATCGACGACTACTGCCACCACTAACACTAGCAAGAACTAGTATCTGGACTCGCACACGTTTGGGGGGGCTTGGCCTCGTCTCTCTCCCCTCCGGGAAGGTCGGAATCCTTGTCTGAGGCGCAAACCGCACCCAGATCGCAGCGCGCTACCGGCGGGCAGCAGAGAATGCGCATCCATGTGACACTCGGCAGCGCCCTGCAGCCCGCCCACGGCCACGGCCCACGACTATCCATGCCTTACCTGTGTTTGCCTTACTCGTGCCTCTCGGGGGAGAGGCCTGCTACCTGTCCCTAGCCGTCAGACGTTATGCGTTGCCTGCTCCGGGGAGCCTTTGCGACGATGCGGACTGCCGGGGACCTGTCGATACGAGGTTTGCGAGCTCGCTAACTTAGATGTGATGGCCTGCTGCCATCATGTCAAGGAATATGATGCCCGTTCGTATAAGAGGCAGGCATGCCTGCGAGAGAGAAGCTTTGAGACACAACCGCGCCGGATGACAAGAGGCGGCGCAAGCGTCGACTGCTGGACCGGGGGTTCCGCCGGAGATGGCGGACGGCGCTCGCTCTGCTGTCTGGATGATGTATGTATCTATAAGCTCGAGCCGGACCAAGCCAGGCGAAGGATGCCAGAAGCGACACAGACAGGAAGACGACATGCCAACCGACTATCCGATGCGCTAGGTCAAACAGTCCCTAGCAGCGAGAAAGAGAGAGAGCGAGAGAGAAAGGAACTGGTCGTGCACGGCATGCCACATACCAAACGAATAAAGTTCGCGACGCAGACAACAAACATTGTTGTCAATATTTTCTCGAAGCAGCCCGCATGGGAGTCCAGCAACCAGCAATCCTGTTGAAGAAGAGATGGTCGTGGGATGCAGAGCTCACGGATGCCTTTATCAGTTCGATAGCTGAGGTAGCTTCGACCTGGTACCTCGACACCAGATATGTGGAGCAAGGGTACCTGGGGGGGCCTGCCCTTCCCGACGAGACTGGAGGTGTGACGTCGTCGGTTCCCGTTGACTCGCCCACTTGGAAGGAGGGGGGGGCCAACGTAAGGTACAGGTCATCTGCCCTGCGCAAACCTTAGCGTGTGCGGCCCAGGCACATCTGCGGCAGTCCAGTGGGCAGGGCAAGGTCCAGGCGACTTCGCTCCAAGGGCTGGGGGGGGCTGCTGAACCTGAAGGGATGAGGTGGCCGGCCAGTGGCTGCTCCGGCCTCTGGGGCTGGGCTGGGCTGGGTTGGTTGGCCTAGTGGGCGCTAAGGCGCCGAGGCGCTGAGCGCTGCTGCTTAGCACGAGTGCCTGTAGCCTCTGTAGGCTCTGTAGCTTCTGAAGCCTCTGGAGGTGCTGGCCGAGCAAGGTGCTGCTGGGCGCAGGGCTAGGTAGGTTTCCAGGTGCTCCATGCTGCTAGGCTAGAAGCGAACGCCCGCTAACATGGGGCACCTCACCCAGGGCCTCAACTCCATGTTGCGGCTGGATGACGGCATGACGAGGCGTCGACTTTTGCGATTTGCATTCCTCGGCCTGGCTGTAAACTTATAGAGGAGTCGATAGAGGCGGCATCTGGAAAAAGGGGAGAAATGCCCCGGTTCTCGGGTCGGACATCTTGGTCTTCTCTCTGCTATGATAGTACTACTACTACCACTACCATGAATGGCTGCCAATGTGAAGTGAGGCAGCACGTGTAATACCGTATGACGGCTGTGGACATGCATTCATTGTACTAGGTAGTATGACGAACCCAACCGTGAGCAAGTGACTCGGGATTGCGCGAGAGTGGTCCCCTGTTGCCGCCCAAAGCCCGGCCGCTTGCGCTGGTACGGGAGCGACGAAGCGGATCCCCCGGCCCATGTTGGAGGCATCACGACTTTTGGGGGAAGGCCCAAGGTACTAGTAAGGCATTCGGACGCACATCTTACGCGCCCAACAAGAGAGCTAGGTAGTACCTTGGTCGTCTCACGTATAGGTACCATCGTTTTCTTTCGGGTATGTACCTAGTAATAAGGTACCTTGTGAGGCGATTATACCCAGCCACGCAAGAAACGGATAGACGAGGAAGATGGCGAAAAACCTCGGGCCATACATACTAATAGAATACTAGATGAGAAGGAGAGAAAAAAGGCAAAATCGAGGTCGCGGTATGAGGTCCGGAGTCTGTAGTAGTGCAAACTCTCTTTGTGCGGCCGGCGCCTGATTGGCTTGGTGCCTACGCTACAGATGGGAAGCCTTGAGTCATTGAGCCGTGCATGAAGATTTTGGAGGTTCCCAACTGATACCCGGAAGTATCGAGTATTACATATACCTTAGGTACAGTAGGTGAGGCAAAAGTTGGAGCCGCATGTGGCCTGACCGCAGATATACAGTACCTTAGGTATTTATCAGCAATTGGACGGAACAAATAGGGAGGGAAACTGAAAATAAACGGGTTGGGTTCTTTGGAGTGTCCACAATTCCGGCATGCAAGCGATCTATCGGA